AGGCGAGCCCACCGCCGACGCTGCAGCCTCGCAGTGGCACGCGGCAGCAGGTCCTGCACCCCAGCAGTGACAGGCGAAGCACCTGACACGCTCCTATCATAGGCAAACGACGACTTCCCAGGTCCGTCGTTGGCAAACCTCAGACGACGCTTGTCATGGGGGGGGGGGGGACAAGCCCCACAAACGGGGAGTCCGCCGCAGCCGTGCCCCGCGCCTGTCCAGACCGAGCGGCTGACTGCCGCGGCCCACCAGCCGCTGCCGCCGGCTGCATCACCACGACCACCACCAACAGCAACGCTAGAGTCGGCTTGGCCGAGCCGGTGGCAGATCAGGCCGCTGTTTAAGCCATTTATCGCTAGGTGACCTACTGCGGCTAGCAACCTTTCACAGCATGGCTCGGCGTGGACTGTAGATGACACTTTCACTTCTTATGGCCATTGCTCGGTAAATGCCGTCTGGCGCCCTGTTTCTGAGACGTTACTGAGCGACCGAAGATATTTTCTTGAATGGTTTGACCTGGGTTGGACGGCTACTGTATGTACCTTGCTTGTTGCTCGAATTCCTTCCCCTGGGGACTTGTACTTACATCTGGAAGTTCTCACAAGCAAAAATAAAAGTACACAAAAGATAACAACAACACTTATAAAAACATTCATAAACCTCTGCGGACATAAACCCGTTGATGCGCCTGTCCATCCGTTCGGCACGCATGTACAGGTGTTCATTACTCATGCTATCCGATTCGCGGTCGACTTTGAGCGACTGGTGCGGTCAGCAATTCTGGAATACGTGCCAACGTCAGCGACAAATAGCGGCAGGTGATTCCGCTGGAAGTAGATCAAGCACACAGGGCGGGACCTTGGATGACGTGCTTGTTTCCTCCGCAAATTCCGTTTAGTTCCGACAGTTCGACCGAACGCAAACAGACTTCCGTACTCCTGCCCTTGGCGTCCATGTTTTCCCATGTGCTTGCATGCGACGTTTGCTCGGGCTCAAAAGTTATTGCAACTGTGCATACCGGTGCCAGTTTCTTGCCGCCAGACATCTACGGGTCTCGGGAATGCAAAAATGGTTACATGAACGATCGAAAAAGAACGCTTGACCCAAAATTCGGAGTTCCGCTTGACATGCCGTCTTCGTTTGGTCACCAAGTGTTGAGACACTCTTTAATGGTTGACGTATCCACTCACTAGATTTCTTTAGTACGAATACATAAGAATGAGAGCGTAACGGGCCCGGAAATCTTGCTTCCATTTCTGAACTACAATCTCAAGCAGACGACTATGGCAATGGCAGTGAAACGCAGATGCATGGCGAAGGTAACCTTGCTGGCTGGCATCATTTATAGCCGGCAGTCACATCTCGCTCGTCGGTAAGCCTCGATGGCACGGGCGCTGACATGGCATCGCTGGATAACTACAGTATATATGCCAAAGAAGGGCTCAGTGCCTCGATTGCCATTGCAAATGTTACACACCCAAGCGAGAAACGTACTACAAACGACAAATCTACTGATAATGATTTGGGGTTTTGGGGCGCATCGGCTGCTTTAGGTCATGCAGCGCCCATAACTATCCTCTTACGCAGAGTCGCAAATCAAACAAGTGTATCAATCAGGTCATCCAATTTATGCCTTGATGATCGGACCTCGTATTATGATGAAAAGATTACTGGGATATCTACAGCGCGAAGGAACGGGAACACCACCAAACTCGACAGCATGCGAACAATCCCTAAGTGACATAGCGTGCAACCCTGTGCGTTATGTCCGAAAAATGTACTCTCGTTGCAGTAAGGTGACGGCAAGCAACGAGTACGTGATGCTCGGTCAGCGGGTCAGAGCATCGACTGCAGCGTGGTCTGGCGCCAGCCAAGAACAGGTGACGGTGCGTGGCATATGTGTGACCCATGCGTAACCGGCACAGGACAACTTCCTCCCTCCTAATGTCGCGAAAACTCGACTACCATAGCCCAATACGAGGCTTCACTGACTTCAGCTTGTTGGCGCTCAGCGAGTCCCAGTGGAACTGTCATCGCTTCTGCATAGACAACGACACTGCGGGGTTCATGTCTTGAGCTGGCAGTGGTGTTATAGGAATGCGTGTCCCTGTCGTAGCGAGCTTTGCTGCCGCGTCAGCGAGATAATTTCCGCAGATGCCCACATGACCTGGGATCCGACACAGCTCGACCGTTTTTTCTGCTCGATCCAGTGAGCTAAGACGCAATTGAATGCCCTGGACCAGTGAATTCGATGAGAAGCCACAGGCCAGGAGGCTGCCCAAGGGGTCGGAAAAAATTAAATGCAAATTGCCATCGTCTTCTTCAATAAAGCAGAGAGCTTTGCTGATGGCCATAAACTCAGAAATTAACACAGACGCGTGCGCAGGCAGTGTGAATAACCGTGTTATGGATACACACACAAAAGCGCATCCTACACCTGCATCCGTCTTTGAACCATCTGTGTAAGTCATCACACCGACGACAAATTTACTGTTTAGCATGACAACATTTAGCTGTCGGGGACGGCAGGCTGTATGGCACGCTATTTCGTGGTCACCAAATCCGACCAGCCGTCCTGCCGGTGTGCCGCCGGTCGCCGCCGCCCAGCAGCGCCGAGCCGGGGCGCGCGCGGACCCACGTACCGTGCGGCGGGCTCCTCCAGGCAGCAGGAGGGTGACGCGCAGGGGGCGGCCGCGCTGCGGCAGCATCTCGCGGGACCAGCTGAGTTGCCGGCTGACCAGCAGCGACGACGAGCGCGCTACCATCGACAGGCGTCGCGAGAGACGTCGGCCCAGCGTGGGCGGCCGGCGCGGCGCGGCGCCCCGCCCCGCCATGGCCTCAGCCGTCCACCGGGGCCGACACACCGCCGCCGCGCCGCAGCACCGGCCGGCACGTGCACTGGGGGCGTCGGCGCCGCGTACCTCGGGAGGAGTGCGTCCCCGGCGCGTCCGCCAGCAACACTGACTGATTCGGGCTGCAGCCGGCGCCGGGCGTCGTCAGCTGGCCCGGCGTGACGTCACGGTCAGCAGGCAGACGTCGCGGCGCCGCGGCTGAGACCGGCTCCAGTGCCAGAGCGCGTGGCGGTCACCAGCGCAAGTTACTAAGTTTTTCTAACGCGGACCCCTCCAACGGCAATTCAACACAAAAGAGATTGGCATGTGCTGTTCATCTGGACCTGATCTTGGCAGTGCAGGCTAACAGTGCCAAGTGGCGATGGCCAGATGTTACAAGTGTTACAAGCGTACCAGGTCCAGCTGGGATCAATTTGCGATACGAAACATTCAGCAGGATATCGTTTATTGTTCACACTATCTCTACCTCGTAAGATCAGATATTCTAAGCTCCAAACACCAGCATCGTCTAACAACACAGACAGATCAAAACAAAATAAGTTACAAAATAAAGTTATCGTTAAAAAGCGACCAACAGTGGAAGATGCTATCAGCCAACATGGCCGTCATCGCCTACGCAAGAGCGGATTGTACATCATTTACGGAAATAAAGCGCACACACACCAAAGTCATCTCTACACCATTCGCACAAACCTTGGTACCAGTTTGGCTCCTACCTGTAGGCTGTTCGCATTGGCTACACTGATAATGACGTCACAACGCGGCCTGTCCTTTCTACATGCGTCGCCTCACCGACCACCGACCGAACAAAACGAGCTTGGCCCCAACCGCCGGCTACATGCGCCACACCGCTGCGTAGGCGCCCCGGTTCTGGCCGGGCCCAGGTGCATTGGTTATCGACAGCGCCGGTATCGATATCGAGCCCGCCCGACTTCGACCGACGCCCCAAAGATCCGGAAGCAGGCTGCCAGAGCACTCGGCTCTCGACGGACATGCACGGGCTTCGCTGGCGTGGCCGGCTCGTGACACACGTGACACACGTGGTTGCTGGCGGCCGATACGTGCCGTCCTTCACCAGGAGTGGGCACACGCAACACCGCTTCAGCGCGGAGCAGACCGCGCGCCGCCGCGCAGTTTCATATTCGTTGGGGTAAGACCCGCCGCCAGCAGCAGTTTTAGTTTCGGATACAAGTGGGGTCAAACTCTGAGGAGGTAGCAAAATTGACGGGGGAGTAACACTGCATAATTTATCCTACCTCCTGACCGTGCAGAACTCCGGCCCCGCTCCTCAGGCGTCCGGAACAAGCCCTACCAGAGATGAATATACGCAGGCGCTTATTGAACTGAGTGCGTACACGTCACACCGACTTAAGTTCTGAATGACAGAAGCACCATCAAACCATCTTAATCACGACCATATGAAAATCGCGTTCGACAAGGTACTTAGGTGCCTTCTTTGAACCATGTCACTACTACTGGCGAGAAGTTTCAGGATGTGCAATTGGAAACAAAACTTCGTAACAAAAGCACGAGTAGGTGCAGGATCACCAGTTTAGCTCTGAGGTCTGATATCCGTGAATGCTCATGCTGCGCATGCCTGACACAACCAAACTCTGGAAGACGGGTGTGCCGCTGGTGTCGACATTACGCCCACCATACCGCCATGAGGGAAGCTCGCGATCAGGCGACACTATTTGGAATGAGAAGTTTTTTAAGCGGCGTTGGGACTGCGGGAATCGGATCAGAACAAGCTCCGCTTAATTCAGAGTCAGTCCAAGCACCACGCACTTCCGAAACTCGGGGCAAGTGAATGTCCCCTTAATCTACAATCTCTGCCTTTCATCTGCGCAGGTTTCAGAACCGTGCCACTAATGCTGTTCAATGCCAGCTACTCACAAAACGCACAAACAACAGCCTCCGGACATCAAGTCGACTAAGTGTCTTCCGAAGGAATTGCATGTACTATGCCGGGGTTGTGCTTGTTGAAGCCTTCCTCGGCAAAAAGCATGTAAAAAACAGTCAGCTACCAGACACAGTATGACAGCGCAGGTGAGTACAAGGTGGTGGAAAACCAACAAGAGGACTAACGACCGCGACGTTGAGCCCGTCCCGGCGCGGCTCCAGACGCCTGGCCGACGAGTTATCGCGGCAGGCGCCGCCGGTCGCCCGCAGGCCCGGCCTCACCTCCTACATGGAGGTGAGCAGCTCCTTCAGCTCGGGCGGCTTCTTCTCGTGCACGCGGCTGTGCTTCTTGAGAATGGACGGCTGCGTGAAGCGCTTGCCGCACAGGTCGCATCCGAACGGCCGCTCGCCCGAGTGGACGAGCAGGTGGCGCCGCAGGTTGAAGCCGTTGGGGAAGTCGCGGCCGCACACCGAGCAGCGGAACTCCTGCTTCACCGGGTGCGGGTGCAGCTGGCGACAGTGGCGCCGCAGCTCGGTGGCCGTGGTAAACACCAGCTCGCAGTGGCGACACGGGTTGTCGCCGCCGTCGCTGTGGTACTGCTGGCGGTGCTCCGAGAACAGCGTGAAGCAGGGGAATGTCAGGCCGCACGGCGCGCACGCCAGCGGCGCCGTCTGCGGGCCCGACCGCATGTGCGTCTTCAGATGGTCCTTGAGCCGGAAGGCGCGCGTGCAGAACTCGCAGCTGAATGGCTTGACGCCGGCGTGCACGGTGCTGTGCCGCTTCAGGTTGTACTTGTTGCGGAAGCGCTTGCTGCAGGCCGGGCAGACGAGGTCGCTCTCATCGGCGGGCGAGGCGTCGTGGCTGGCTGGCGGCTCGCACAGCAGCTCCACCTCACACTCTAGCCGCTCCTCGGCCGGCTCGTCGGGCCCGCCGGCGCCCTCCTCGTGCGGCTCGCGCTTGACGTGCGCGTGCCGCTCCAGCGGCGACTGCAGCGGTGCCGGCATCGGCTGCCGGCGGAGGCGCGGCGCGGCGTCACGATCACGCAGCGGCAGGCCGCTCACACCGGTCACGTCACGCCATTGGGAGGGCACCACCAGTGAGCTGACAGGAACACCCCCACCAGCAGAGACCCACTCCATGGGAGGGTGCCACCAGTGAGCTGACAGGAACACCCCACCAGCAGAGACCCACTCCTTGGGAGGGCACCACCAGTGAGCTGACGGGAACACCCCACCAGCAGAGACCCACTCCATGGGAGGGTGCCACCAGTGAGCTGACAGGAACACCCCACCAGCAGAGACCCACTCCTTGGGAGGGCACCACCAGTGAGCTGACAGGAACACCCACACCAGCAGAGACCCACTCCATGGGAGGGTGCCACCAGTGAGCTGACAGGAACACCCCACCAGCAGAGACCCACTCCTTGGGAGGGTGCCACCAGTGAGCTGACAGGAACACCCACACCAGCAGAGACCCACTCCTTGGGAGGGCACCACCAGTGAGCTGACAGGAACACCCACACCAGCAGAGACCCACTCCATGGGAGGGTGCCACCAGTGAGCTGACAGGAACACCCCACCAGCAGAGACCCACTCCTTGGGAGGGTGCCACCAGTGAGCTGACAGGAACACCCACACCAGCAGAGACCCACTCCATGGGAGGGCACCACCAGTGAGCTGACAGGAACACCCCACCAGCAGAGACCCACTCCATGGGAGGGTGCCACCAGTGAGCTGACAGGAACACCCCACCAGCAGAGACCCACTCCTTGGGAGGGTGCCACCAGTGAGCTGACAGGAACACCCCACCAGCAGAGACCCACTCCATGGGAGGGCACCACCAGTGAGCTGACAGGAACACCCCCACCAGCAGAGACCCACTCCATGGGAGGGTGCCACCAGTGAGCTGACAGGAACACCCCACCAGCAGAGACCCACTCCATGGGAGGGCACCACCAGTGAGCTGACAGGAACACCCCCACCAGCAGAGACCCACTCCATGGGAGGGTGCCACCAGTGAGCTGACAGGAACACCCCCACCAGCAGAGACCCACTCCATGGGAGGGTGCCACCAGTGAGCTGACAGGAACACCCACACCAGCAGAGACCCACTCCATGGGAGGGCACCACCAGTGAGCTGACGGGAACACCCCACCAGCAGAGACCCACTCCTTGGGAGGGCACCACCAGTGAGCTGACGGGAACACCCCACCAGCAGAGACCCACTCCTTGGGAGGGCACCACCAGTGAGCTGACGGGAACACCCCACCAGCAGAGACCCACTCCATGGGAGGGCACCACCAGTGAGCTGACAGGAACACCCCCACCAGCAGAGACCCACTCCATGGGAGGGTGCCACCAGTGAGCTGACAGGAACACCCACACCAGCAGAGACCCACTCCATGGGAGGGCACCACCAGTGAGCTGACGGGAACACCCCACCAGCAGAGACCCACTCCTTGGGAGGGCACCACCAGTGAGCTGACAGGAACACCCCCACCAGCAGAGACCCACTCCTTGGGAGGGCACCACCAGTGAGCTGACAGGAACACCCCCACCAGCAGAGACCCACTCCATGGGAGGGTGCCACCAGTGAGCTGACAGGAACACCCCACCAGCAGAGACCCACTCCTTGGGAGGGCACCACCAGTGAGCTGACAGGAACACCCACACCAGCAGAGACCCACTCCATGGGAGGGTGCCACCAGTGAGCTGACGGGAACACCCACACCAGCAGAGACCCACTCCTTGGGAGGGCACCACCAGTGAGCTGACAGGAACACCCCCACCAGCAGAGACCCACTCCTTGGGAGGGTGCCACCAGTGAGCTGACAGGAACACCCCACCAGCAGAGACCCACTCCATGGGAGGGTGCCACCAGTGAGCTGACAGGAACACCCCCACCAGCAGAGACCCACTCCATGGGAGGGTGCCACCAGTGAGCTGACAGGAACACCCCACCAGCAGAGACCCACTCCTTGGGAGGGTGCCACCAGTGAGCTGACAGGAACACCCCACCAGCAGAGACCCACTCCATGGGAGGGCACCACCAGTGAGCTGACAGGAACACCCCCACCAGCAGAGACCCACTCCATGGGAGGGTGCCACCAGTGAGCTGACAGGAACACCCCACCAGCAGAGACCCCACTCCTTGGGAGGGCACCACCAGTGCGCTGACAGGAACACCCCACCAGCAGAGACCCACTCCATGGGAGGGTGCCACCAGTGAGCTGACAGGAACACCCCACCAGCAGAAAACCCACTCCATGGGAGGGCACCACCAGTGAGCTGACAGGAAACACCCCACCAGCAGAGACCCACTCCTTGGGAGGGTGCCACCAGTGAGCTGACAGGAACACCCCACCAGCAGAGACCCACCTCCATGGGAGGGTGCCACCAGTGAGCTGACAGGAACACACCCCACCAGCAGAAGAAACCCACTCCATGGGAGGGCACCACCAGTGAGCTGACAGGAACACCCCCACCAGCAGAGACCCACTCCTTGGGAGGGTGCCACCAGTGAGCTGACAGGAACACCCCACCAGCAGAGACCCACTCCTTGGGAGGGCACCACCAGTGAGCTGACAGGAACACCCCACCAGCAGAGACCCCCTCCATGGGAGGCACCACCAGTGAGCTGACAGGAACACCCCCCACCAGCAGAGACCCACTCCATGGGAGGGTGCCCCAGTGAGCTGAAGGACCACCCCCAGCAGAGACCCACTCCATGGAGGGTGTCCCACCATGAGCTGACCAGGAACACCCCACCAGCAGAGACCCCACTCATGGGAGGGCACCACCAGTGAGCTGACAGGAAACACCCCACCAGCATAGACCCACTCCTTGGGAGGGTGCCCACCAGTGAGCTGACAGGAACACCCCCACCAGCAGAGACCCACTCCTTGGGAGCCACCAGTGAGCTGACAGGAACACCCCACCAGCAGAGACCACTCCATTGGAGGGCACCACCAGTGAGCTGACACGGAACACCCCACCAGCAGAGACCCACTCCTTGGGAGGGCACACCACCAGTGAGCTGACGGAACACCCCCACCAGCAGAGACCCTACTCCTGGGAGGGCACCAGTGAGATGAACAGGAACACCCCCCACCAGCAGAGACCCACTCCATGGGAGGGTGCCACCAGTGAGCTGACAGGAACACCCCACCAGCAGAGACCCACTCCATGGGAGGGTGCCACCAGTGAGCTGACAGGAACACCCCCACCAGCAGAGACCCACTCCATGGGAGGGTGCCACCAGTGAGCTGACAGGAACACCCACACCAGCAGAGACCCACTCCATGGGAGGGCACCACCAGTGAGCTGACAGGAACACCCCCACCAGCAGAGACCCACTCCATGGGAGGGCACCACCAGTGAGCTGACAGGAACACCCCCACCAGCAGAAACCTGCTCCATGGGAGGGTGCCACCAGTGAGCCGACAGGAACACAAACACCAGTCGAGATCTACTAAATGGGAGAGTACCACCAGTGAGCTGACAGGAACACTCATATGGGTCACGCCCCACTCAACGGGAAGGTTCTGTCAGTCAGCTGACAGGAGCGATGACAATGGTACCGTTCCACTCGCACGGAGCAGGGGTACAGTCATCCCATTGACAGAATCACTCACAAAGCTCCAAAGCTCTCAATGGTCAGACATCAACCAGAACGGGGTCATCACAACACCAACAAAGGGTGGGAGCCGTGCCCCTGAGACCAAATGTTGAGGGGGAGGGAGCGGGGAGGGGAGCCTGCGAAACTCCTCGCTGTTGTGTAGTGACCCAGCTCGCTGCACAACAGTCAGCACCACGGGCACTCCTGTTGTCTTTGCTGCGTTGCAAAACGAGGCTTTTGTGTGTCCCGAGAGCGTATCAATCCATCGTACTAGGTACATTGGGACGACATAGCTCCAAGCAAATTTTCCGCACTAGTATAGTTAAACCTGTCTTCACATGGAACTTACAGAGCTTCACCCACTGGCAACATACTGGCCTTGGAGCTCTGGCTATACGTGACAACTCATGCGTTGTCTCTGCCGTGGTAAACCCATGTAGGCTTATTTTGTGACCCACGAGGACATTGGCAAGGGGGGGGGGGGCAGGGTAACCACAAACGGATAGCCCTTGCGAACTATCAGTCGGCCGAAAGGAGGTATCACCGGTCTCTGTGATGCGCCGACAGGGTACCAGCAAAAAGTGAGCGGCACCCAACTAAGTCAGTGGAGATTACGGACCACACGAATGCTGGATGCCCTCATGCGATGCAGCTCCGCAACCTTCCCCTTCGCCCATATGGAACACGTGACCCCGACCTCGTCCCCTGAACACCTGCCAAACGCCTGCTTTTCGGTGCCGTGCTCTCCAACGTAGAACCACTGAGAACTGACTGAACCATCTCTTGCAATACACCTTAACCAATACAATGATCTGATTTCAGACGCACTCATACTGGAGTTCGCCAGACCAGTACACGAGCCTGCGATTCGTCAAGAATAACTACGAAAAGCTGTCAAACCTGGAGCTCTCCAAACTTTTCTGCGCGTATTTTCAGCATGTCCATGAACTTTCTCTTGATCTCTTCGCGGATCTCAATGATCTTCGTTTCGTACGAGTCGAGAGTCATGATGACAGCTGAGCATGCCATACAGATATACTGAAACAGCGTAGATCATCGCCATCACCACCCGAGGACAGCGACAAGTCATCACACCGTACACAGGTGCAGAACAGCAGACACGCTGTCAACACAACCGGAGAACAGCATGAACATCAACACAATCCGAGAACAGCCAATGCACGTATCACGCATACGACAAATGACATGGCAACAGCAGGCAGACAACGCAGCCAGGACAGAGCCAGCACACTGTGAACACCACCAAAACAAGCACAATATGTCAATGAAATCACCGGAAATGAGCAAACATGCCGCCAACACATCCAATATGACGTGAATACAACAGCAAAAGCGGAGACGTCACTGATACTGCCGAAGAACAGCCCACTCAGCGGAAAACAGGAAAGCCGACGCTCGATGCCAACGAGGGGGGGGGGGACAGCAGGTATGCTGTCACCACCATGGGAAAACATTAAAAAACAACAGGAAACAACCAGAGAACAGAAAACATGGCGTTCCAGCCATGACAGCATACTGAGCAGCAAACAAACCACAAAAATCCCTGGAGCAAGCAAGCAAAGCACACCCTTGACAAGCCATGCAAATAGATGAGAACCTTTGCTGTGGATGCAATGCATGCCTGTAGATTGGTGCTATTGCTAACAAAATGAAGTGGTGCTAACAAACCACAAACAATAATCGGACAGCATGGTACACAATATACATACAACACAATGCGTGCTTTCCGGCCAGGTGGCCAGAAAAGCACTTTTGCCTTAAAGCATGCCAGCTGCCACTATACATCATATTGGTGTATAGCGACACCATACCATCATACCAGCACACATTTTGCTCGTCAAAACCTAGCATTGCAATAACGGTAGTTCGTATGGTGGCTGCTGTGTTCCATTTCAAACACGAGTGACATTCAAGTACATTCTGAACCGCACCAACAGACCTCCGCCGTTCCTTTCCTTAGAGTTGATTGTTAACACTACTCTACAAATGCACGAGCATTAGCACGCCCGCCTCGCTGCCCGTCCCAGAGACGGGGAGAGGGTGCGGGCGGTAGGCGGCCCACCTTCATCTGCCAGTGGTGGGCGGCAGCGTGCAGCGACACGCCACAGCCTGGCTGCACCACCATCTCTAGTTTCTCGGCCAGTGTCTCCTGCGTGCTCGGCAGCCGGAAGCCGTTGATGTCGACGCCGGTGGGCGGCTCGGCGGCGCACGTGATGTACGAGTCGCAGAGGATGCAGCGTGAGTCGGGGCCCGTGTGCGGCGGCAGCGGCTCAGCGTACGGCACACAACCGCCCGGACCGGCTTGTGATAAGTATGTGCCCAGGTCCTCCATCATGGCGACCGCTGCCAGGCAGAGCAAATGGTGTCATGTGAGGACATGTGCTCACTGGCACTAGACTGGTGGCAGTATGTGCAAAGCATATAAGCCCAAATGAACCATACTCTGATAATTCCTCATGGACGAACAATGGAGTGAAAGACTTGGTAATCCACTACCATAGGACCCTATACAAACTATTTCCCAAGTTCCCCTGAAGAGGAGGCCCCATATGTACAGCAAACACCCACTGATACAATTCACAAGCATTTCTGGGGCATCTGTGTACATCTTTGACATCATCTATTGACCTTCATAACTGCACCAGAGGCAAAGATGCACCATTAAGAAAAGTAAACAATGAAAGGAAAACCTATGGACAATGTATCACATTCTCATACCATTAAGATCCAGTTAAGGTGGTGATATAAAATCATGCATCCACATAACCAAGTATCTCCTGCAAAAGTGTGCACATGATACAAATCCACATTTCTGAATGGCTGGTGACCTATGGCATTGAATTTTCAAAATACCATATAGTTTTACTTCACTGCCAAACATCTTGCCATGGAAGGAATGTCGAGCCATACCCCCTGGAGTTGTATGGCTTTCATGAGCACAAGGTGGCCCATGATAACATGGCTGGCTGCATTTTGGATATAAACTGAATTTATTGTATAGACAAAACAAAAGCATACTTCCATAAAATTATACATAAAAAGTGGATGCAATTGCAAAATCAAGCAATAGAACAAAGCGGGTGATTGTTTTAAACCCGCCACCTTCAAATCTCAGAAACAAGGAAGACTATCCATCAATATCTTTCCAAATATCTAAGAGTTGTCCACCAAATCTGAAAAATTGTGCAGAGTGTGTGATGAAGTACTCAACAAAACTGTGCACTATCTCGGCATCAAAGAGTACTGGTATGTGCTAAAAATATGCGATCACACAAATGCTTGAATTAATCTACAACATTTTTCATTCTTGAACTGTAAGATTGTGCCACATTCACAGGAACACAGTAAATCTACCTTAATGATGCGTTTCACAATAATAGTGTAGTAACACAGTTAGTTTTTGTGACATGCATTGCTGCTTAATAGGTACATTATTTGGCAAGCTCAAGACCGCCCCAGGGACAGTTCCAAACTACAGAAGCTGAAATGCATGTATGCTAGATACAAAGAACCTAGTGTAAACAAAAGCAACTACTTTCTGATCAGCAAATGTGGCAAGCAGACCAATACCTGAATAGAACTAACTGAACAGCTCATTAAACACCACACAGCCGGCACTCCTTGTGACATACCTTTTAACCCTGGCCAAACTCCACTACGGTCCACAAAATGAATACCAAGCCAATCCAGCGGGACCAAGCTAGGGGGAATACACGATTGAAGGCAATTCTAACATATAGTGAAATCCATAGCAAAGTTCTGCACTAAAGAATGCCCAGCTAAAACTGGGAAGCCCTGAACGGATGTTGCACGTGACGTTAGTTCACCTTACAAGAAGTGTTATCGCAGCCAATTCCAACCGAATCGGTTTCTAGGCCATCGCTCATCACTGAGATAAGAAGCGAGCATCAGAAATGTAGCCGTCGCATCAAGGCGGCGAATGCGACGCGATCCTGTGGCCGTTTTCAAGGGGAGATACTAGACGACCGAAGAAACATGTTGACAACTTATGTTCCGAAACATTGCACGGCACGACACCAAACCTTCACCATAAGATGCCGCCTAGTCGACAAGATTTTCCCAGAGTATGAGGTTTTATGTCAGGTCAAATATCACTAAAAATTCCCATCGACAAAATACGTTTCCAGACAGCCACAAGCTACTAATCTGTGGGATGCATCATTACAAAACCTTCCCCAATCGTTGTACCATGGTCGATGGCACAATCGCCCCGGGGGGTTAGTGACCTTCGGCCAGGTCAAAGGCCATCGGAAACACTCAACACCACTAAAATCAGCTACAGACAACTCCATGGTTCTAGTCTATTGAACCGATTACCACAAAATCCTCACCTATCGACGCACCATGGCCGATAACCTATCCTATACAGAACATGGTGACCTTTTAGCGGGTCAAAGGTGACCAAGCATGCTTTTGATGAAATCAGAAAAATTAATTGTAGACAATACCAAGCTCTGAACCTACAGGAACGATAGGATCAACCCATTGGTAAGCTCGTGCGTTGCATATACACACGCCGTGCCAAATGACTTTTTTTCTAATTCTACGTTTTTCCTTTAAATACTTTGACTGTTGTATGACCACGCGACGACACGCAAGCATCTGGGCAATATATTCACAGCATGGCACGTTTTCTATCATTGACGTATAAAATACTTGAATAGGTGAATGTTTTCCATTTTAATGTTTGCGACCTCCGCAGCAACAACTACGCATGCAAAACTGGCAGTTATGTCTGCATTTACTGTGCGTGCTGCTGACAATGTAAACTGCACTCCACGCTGTCTAAAAGGCATATCGCACTTTTTCTTCACCCTGGGCGGGCGAATTGACTTGCTAAGCGTAAGATAAATTGATGATGATGATTTGGGGCTTTGGGGCGCATCGACAGCCGTAGGTCATACAGCGCCCATAAGTCAAATTCCGTTGCGCCATTTCTGTCCCTTTTTATAGCAAGTAACCGAGAACAATGCGCCTGCAAAAAGGGGCTAAAATATTTGTTCACAAATGCCATGTCAATCAATCGTCAATCAAAATCGTCAAGATGCTCTTAATATTGAACACTGAAAATCATCTGTTTGTAGAAAAAAAAACATTTCGAATGCCTGTGGTCGGTCCTTGTTGTATTAGTCAATACGAACACAAAACGGTACAATAATCTTTCGAGTATGACGTCATGAATGACGATAGTATCAAGTCAGTCGTCTGAGTCGTTCTGGGTACCCACTTAAACTGTTTAACTCGCAAATATTTTGCATGACATCAACTAGAATGTGATTTTGGGGTAGCTGCAAACATATAAGCCGTGGAATCTAACCATATGATGTCACTAATAACGTCGAAGGTACAAATTCTTTGTTGTTCGGATCGCTGTGAACACGTGAAGTTTCGATTACGTTGTAGTCAGTGAACAAAAAACAGTGCGCGTGGGAGCGTGGTTGATTATTCGGTGGATTGAGGGAGGCACGTGGGCGGGACGTGGCCTGTGAAGCCGGGACCGAGGGAATCGTTCGTGATTTTCATCTCACTGCTGGGAGGAGCACTTGTCATTAACTAGCTGCCTGGCTAGCAAGCAAACGTCAACATGAAGCTTCTCACGCACAACATGCTCACGTCAAAATGTTTGAAAAATGTGGTCAGCGGATATCCTTTACAGATTTCGATCAACTCGGTAAGATGTACCGTGGGTTAAGAAACACCTAATTATTTAGGGCATTGTACCTCTCCTATTCTTAAAGAATGCTATGCTGTTGGACTGAGATGCACATGTCTGCTTTCCATTTATCAATGATTGGGTTCAGACATCACTGTGCATTTTGGGGACTCATTGCCAGTTTGCAAAAAATCATCATGTACTAGATGCCTTCATGTCATCAGTGAGCTGAACAATGCACCTGTGTTTGCAGAACTTGCAGGCCAGTTGGAGTTGTGCTCATTTGGATCATCATTTTTTGAAAGTCTTTGAAATATTTATGCATTTGCATACCTTTGCAGCATCTTAATACCCTGAAATGTTGGCACTATGCACTGTTCTGGATGATGACCTGCACCATCCAGGATGCTGAAACCCAATAATCCATTTTTGTAGGGAGCCTGCAGTTTGTACCATGTGTGACTGACATTGAGTACAAAATCTTATCACTTTTGTGTAAGATGTCTTCTAGTACCTACACTGAAAACCCTATGTGGTGAATGAGTTCTATGGATGCCATATAAGCTTCATAGAGCAGCAGGGGCACACTTTTGTATTCAGTTAGGTATTCTTCAGCCATTTCCCAACTTTGAGAAGAAATGAGGTGAAAATGAGATGGGATAAGATTGTTGGTATCCTTTGGAGGTAGGCTGCATTATTTTCATTGCATAACCTCCAAATTCCCTCTGCAAAACTCACCCCCTAGAGACCACTTGGGGTTAATGAACATTTAATGATGCCCTTTCATGCTGCAGTGCTCTGAATGACACATGTCAGTTCGAAAGGATAGCAGGCTTGTGGTGAAGTCCAGCAGCAGGCTGTTATTATTTACTTTCCTACATGTCCTTTTCATATTATATTCATTTTTAGTCAGACTGGAATAGAATAGCAAGTGGAGATTTCCCCCTAAACTGCCCTGTAGCCTCACAGCTTGATATACCAGAGGCTGTAAGGATGCACAGGGTGACAACACTACAATGATCTGACCAATGCCTGTGCAGCATGGTAGCTGACCTGGATCAGGGCTGTCCTGCTGCATGCAAAGGACAGTCTAGACTCTGCTTAGTGACCCAGCCCACATCTACTGGGGTCAAGTGGAAAGGTTGCATTGCATAGCAGTGTATTAAGCTAATCTTTGTGTACTCCATAATATTGACCAGTCTGTCTCTTAACTTGCAAAGTGCATTTGTGTGGAACATTATGCCTCAAGATAGCGCACTGAAGAGCCATATTCCTTGTATAATGATGGGGAGAATGGAGAGATAGATTGATATGTCAGGTACATGCCTTTATCAAAGCAAAATTCAGTAGTAAATGTTAAGTTAGTTGTAAATACCAAGTTACTTCTGATATTGTTTCAATAAAGGCATGTAACCAAAATATCAATCCATCTACATCTGCATTCTCCTGATTATTTTATGAGGAATAAGGCTATTAAGTACAGTCTTGTTTCATAACAAATACAGCAAGCTCTGTTTGGTCAGCTTCTTAAATCCAGTGAGAGCAAGTCCAAACTTTGAGCACTGTCTGTCCCCCAAGAAAAGACAGATTGCAAGGGGTGTGGTGCTGGCAAGCTTTAGTCTTGGTGAAACCAAATTAAAAGTCATGGCTTTGCTCACCTTGCAGTCTCAAATACTGGAACTATGCCACACAGGACCAGCACATAGGCACAGGCAGGATGTACTACCACAGGTCAATGAAAGTTGTGCTTACAGGCATCAGGAACTCCGCTATAAATAACAAGCCAGATTATTGTCAGTCTTGTTTCTCATACCTGCATGCTCTGAATCTATTATATGGATGCATTGTGACCCATTAATAGCAATTTATTTGCTAAGTTTGCCTTATGTTTGACTGCAAAATTTGAAGTACCTATTGCCTTTTTCAGCCAGAAGATGTGAAGGTGCAAGAAGTGGACTTCAATCCAGAATTCATAGCAAGAATCATTCCAAAGGTGGACTGGGATGTGCTATGCAAAACAGCTGAAGAGGTAGGATAACATAAATTATGCCTTAAAGATTTCCAGGGCTAAAGGTTTGTGACAGTTTTGAGTTTACAGATTGTTTGGTTTTTACAGGGAACATGTTTTGCACCAATCACATTTTTAGGATGATGCCACTTCACCAGATTACATTCAATGCCACTTGCCTTCTACCTGGCAGGTACTCCATGCAATTGCCAGCTAACTGCCATGTGGTGGGTGGGCAGTTTTTTCTGTGTGATTCAGACAACTTCCTTGCTGCACCCCTGTGGCAAATGCTGTTTCCATCTCTCAGCCACAGATAACTTTTTAAACTTATAGTGGGAAGACATGGAGTATGGAAAATGGTGATGTAGGGGTGCCATCGCCACACCGTGATCTGTGCAGGCAGAGCTCCATTTTTATAGTACTTCCACTGACAGAGTAATTACGCACCATCTTGACCTTCTAGGCCTTTAAGCAATAACATGTTTGCGCATAACTCATGCATGGCGCAATTTTGCGGACAAAACCTCTTCGCGACAGTACTGCAGTGCGTGGAAACTGCATTTGGGAAGCTTGCACGAGGCGTTGTTTCGACTGGCGTAACTTTTGTAACAGAAACGTGTAGGTGGCAACACCTTCACGTTCAAAACTACTCATATGAAACGGCTGCCATGGTCAATGGAATGGTGTTACTGCTATCCGTCAAAGGCGTTACTGCCAAAGCTCCCACGTGAGGGTGATCCTGTCTTTCAAATGTCCACGCGACACACCTTCGTAATATTTTGATGGTTTTTAGCGGCGCGTTGCACGTCTCAGACCACAGAGCGTCGCGACCACTCGCGCTGATCACTGAGACTGGCAAGCAGACTGCTGGCTATGGGCCCGGCGGTGGGCCTAGTCTGCGGCCGGCAAGCAGACTGCTAGCTATGGGGCCCGGCCGTGGGCCCAGCCCGCGGCTGGCAAATGGACCATCTTTCAACTCAGTTACACTTAACAATCCAGTCACATCGTCGCACGGCATGGAGCATGAGAAACTCCGCGACGACGCAGCACCGCTGCTGCGCACATCACAGGTCCTACCCAGCGTTGTTGACAACATTGTTTTTGTTCGTTTTTAAAGCGCTTCCTGTGGCTTAAATGCATATCAGTATTGTTAGTCAAGGCATTGGGCCGAGGCTGTGATGTAGCGCCGAAGTTTTTCGGTGGTGGTCAAGTCGTGTGTGAGATTTTGTTGTGTCGGTTTTGGGCGTTGGGCATTGTATGGTGCATAGAAACCGTTTCACGTGAAAATGGTCTCTGTAGAAGCCTTGGCCTTTGACCTTATGCCAATCACCAATGGGATGCCAATCACTCTATCAGCTATCAGTAGGAGTTTCTGAAGGGCTTGTTGTGACGAGACATCCAATAGGTCAAGACAGCGAGTATACTGTTGCTCCAAGCGCATCCATCGTAATGAAACTGGCGCACCATTATATACATTCCTTTCAGGTTGGACACAAAGGGGACCTGCCTGCCACGTTGGACCAAGATTATGAGACGAATGAAGAGTTTCTGAAGATGGCTCATCATGTTCTTCTGGAAGTAAGTCCCAGTGGTTCCCGCTATAAAGTTTGCATTGATACAACGGTTTGAGACATAATTCAAATATCACTAAATGATAAGTCACGTTTGCCTTGGCGAAGACTAGAGACTGTCAGGAATCGGGTCTTTTCCCCTTAACCCCATTTTTGAAGGGGTCTAAACAATGCCGTGGTTTTTTAGCCGTAGCAGTAATGATCTTATGTTTGTCCACGAGTTTGCAGCAATTGTTGCCAGTGACGTCACAAGGTGTCACGCCGACTGTGGCGGGAATTGAAAAACAGTTGGTGGGAAGGCTCGAAACCGTCGTCAATGATACATTCAATTATGAACCAATTATAATCAGTTATACACAAAGTGTTCATCGATCACAAACAAGCCAGCGCGATAGGCGCGCTGCTCTCGTGCCTGTTCCCAGAAATGCGCGACTGAACGCGGCAGGTAGACATTTGTGTCACCAAATCAAAATTGCTATGTTTTGGAAAAAGGAAATAAAGTAAAACTGTTATCCTGTAATACTGTGAAATGCGGAAAACCGCAGCGCGGTGGATCTGTTGGAAAGAATGTACGAGGAGATCCGGCAAACCAGGTTCAGTTTCAAAGTGCCATCCTGCATATACACTCCTAATGTTACCAGCTATAACCAAAATCAGCAAAGTTGCCTTCGAGACCTTCAGCTGAAGCGTGTCTTAGGGAACGCCTCACGGTGAGCTGCTGCACTGATACAGCTACGTTACAGAACCCTGAGATGTCCCTGCACGCGGGTAGCAGTCCCACAACGCCCGTGTCTCCGTCGCCGTCGCTGCGATCGGCTCGCCTCGGACGCCTGGCGACGCGCGGCCGGCGCCGATAACTGACGCGAACGCCCTTCCGTCGCCAGGTGGAGGTGATGAGCGGGGAGCTGGTATGCCCAGAGACGGGCCGGAGGTTCCCAGTCACCGATGGCATTCCCAACATGCTGCTGAACGAGGACGAGGTGTGAACTCGTCGACGTCATTGCACCTTTCATTTTGATGTAACCCCGCCTGACCGTTCATTTTTGTCTTGTTAAATACAGATTACGCTTATCAATACGTCGGAATGCTCACTCAAGTGTCATTAAGTGGTCCGAATGGACCCATAACACGTTTGAGATTACGCAATTGCCTCAAAACTAACTATAGGCGAAACGAGTAACGGCCCGCTGTATATTCGGGGGCGGTCTGGTTTTATCGCCCGATGAAAAGTCCCGAAATACGGCTGCGGTCCGCATGTATTCACACCATTAATCCAGAGGGCGACGCACAAGGAGCCCAGTGTGTTGCGTGCTGGCACGCGCGCCGTCGCGGAGCACCCGGCCGGACACCACACGGCCTCAACAGCCCGCCGGGTCTGCAGCGCGCCCCGTGCCCCGCCCCACCACGTCACCGGTAAAATGTGCAGCGGCGCGCGTTCCCTGCGGCCGCTGACCAAACAGGCACTACGCAAACGTGGTCCCTCGACGATCACAGCTAACTGATTGTCTGATTGTTAGCGCAGGCTACGTCCTCGGCCTGGGCCGCGCCAAGGGCTACGTTAACTATACCCCATTACAGGCAGTTAATTACAAAACTTAATTACGGTACGGCCACATGAAGGTCCAGGCGAAGTGAACGAGTGCCACGATGGCACAAACGTTTGCGCCACGCATGTGCATCGATTGCCACGTAGGAAGCGCCTAATTAGCTGGGTCCCGCCGTTCTCGACCAGCTGTAAAACGAGGGGCGATGCCCTCTGAATCAGTTATTGCATTACCGGACTGTAAACTATAAAAAAAGAAACAGAGCTGGAAGACACTAGCTAAAGCATTGCAGGAGAGCACACCAAGGAGAGCACACCAGCGCGCACACGATACAGCCTCTACGTAAAATGTTCTGTCAGCGCCAACAAAGCGCGAACGAAGCAGCTGCTAAGCACACCACGAGCCGCGAGACGCCGAGGCGAACGTGTCGGCGTCCGGCGCCGCGCCGCTCCGTTCCCGACACCGCCTCAGGCGTTGCGCCGAGCGCCGACAGCCGTCGGGACCGCTCGGCCGACCCAGCGCACCGGGGCCAGTTCACTTCTTGCCCTTGCTGTAGAACTTGCTGTTCAGGAGGAAGATAAGCAGGTTGACGTTGATCCGAACCCTCCCGAACATGTCCATGACGGAGACGCCGTCGTACTGCAGATGCAGCAGCTCCTGGGGGCGCGGGAAGGGGTGTCACGGCGCGCGCTTCAACACGGGGCTTTCGAGCTGCTCGTTAGGGACACCCATAAGTCATCAGCAACCAAGGACTCTAGGGCGTAACGACATACGCGGGCCAGCTGAAACGAGACGATTTTGTATCGTCGATTTTCTTGAGCGTATTTTTTCTGTAACTAGCACTGCAGCGTGCACATGTGAAAAGCTTCAGTCGACTACGGTCATTGCTTTGTACTGAACAGCAATGATAAACAGTCTTGCCGCGGAGCCCCACCGCTCACATACGAGCAAATCACGCATTCAACAGGTGAATAATGCGGCGCGTTCCAGCATATAAACTACGCATTCAACAGGTGCCAGATACCCTGAATTCCAAGGAGTAATACAGTCGTAGCACAGGTGCAGCACATCGTATATTCATGGGGCACTCGAACATTTATGGGGTACAGACGTCACTGGCCACGGCCGTCTGCTATGAGGAGGGTTGATTGACGGTGTCGTATGACGTCAACGACCGCACAAAATGCATCACTGGCCGGAGTACAGCACGTGTGCGGCTATGTATGAACGCGGCAGGTGCTAAGTGCGGCCGTTAGACCAGTGACGGCGGCGGCAGGTGGGGACGGTACCTGCAGGCTGATCTCCACCCGCTCCAGCTGCACGCCCAGCAGCTTGGCGTTCACCTGGAACAGGCCCTCGGCCGCCAGCGGCGAGATCTCGAACTGCACGCCCTTCAGCTGGGGAGCGGAGGCGCGCGCCGTCAACGGCCGGCGGCGGACGGACTGCTCTTGGCGAGCCCCACACCGCCGCTTACCGGCCGGCCACCCGGGGAGACAGGTGACACGGCGACACAACGACGCCGACGTGGCGGCACACCGCCAGCTCCAGGCTGGGCGGCGTGCGATCGGCCCCGATCACACCGTACAGCAACGGCAGGCCCGGCGTTACGCCCGCAGGCGGGATCATCGGCTCGGTTCGTGGCTGCGGTCCACAACACCGAACCCGGCGTCCAGCACGTGGTCCAGCACTGCACGCGTTGCTATGTACACACTATTGACCGCAGCGAGGCGGCGATTGTCCGGTGGAGTTCTGAGGCACGGACCGGGAGCGATGCTCTATTGACCCACGGCAGGCGCCGGCGGGGAGTTCGTGACCGTCATGGAAAGGCCGGCGGTTGACGTGACCAAGGCCGCGCGGAATTAACACTCCCATTAGAGGTCACGGGATTCCCTAACTGGGAAGCGCGGTGCCGCCCACTGCCCCGTCCGACCGATGGCCGCGGGCTAACATGATATACGGGGCCACACCAGTGAGCGGTGCCGCCCCTTTTTTAGTTGAAATGCTCACATACTAAAAACGTCCTATTCGGATATCAGAATTGTTGCATGCTCTGCTAAGTTGCATTCGGATTAATTTATGGTGTCTTATATATGTTTGGGTCGAAAGCACATCAAGGCAAGAATTTGTTCCATTTCAAACACCACATGTGTAAATGCTACAGCTGAAAAGTCGCTTTGCAGCTCGCACGCAGCAAGTTGCACTTTCTTCCGATTCCCGTGGCACGACTCCTCTCTGACAGTGGTCCGACCCTACGGGGCCAACAGTCCTGTCCGCTGTGCTGTCTTCAACATGGACCCTGTGGCGGCGCGGTACAGGCGACCGCGGGGAACCGCCGCTGCGGCGCAGCATCACTGTCGCACCGTCACGGCGCAGCGACCTGCGGCTCGCAGCACAGTGCAGAATCGTCACCGCTGTCCTGGATAAGCTTAAGTTGAAAAGCTTCTTGCATGGATCACAACTGCGTCCTCATTAAAAAAAAACATGATGTCAGTGTTCAGGGGCGCGAAATGACCATTGTAGTCGACGCATCCTAAAACACCAATAAACAATAAAATCAGTATTGGCGGGGGAAGGGGCAGGGGTGCAGTTTTTATTCAGTGGGAGGGAAGAGGGGGGGGGGGGGAACGTCGGCCCCCGCAACTTGGGCTTCAGCCCCACCCTCCAACTTGGGCTTCAGCCCCTCAACAACTCGGCTGTGCGGAGTACCCACCTCAGCCGGCTGCATGCCGTCGATGTTGAGCAGCACGCCCTTCTCCTTGAGCCGGGCGGCCGTGTAGCGCAGCGGCGCCGCCGCCTTGGCCTTGTGGCGGCCGGCGCGCCGCCGCCCCGTCGCCATGCCTTGCAGGCACGTGGCCAGATACTGGGTGTAGTACGAGGCCTGCTCCTGGTAGAAGGTGCGCTTCTTGTCCAGCGACGAGATGGTGCGCCGCAGCTTCACCAGCTCCTGCGGGGCGCGGCGGCGGTTCCAGTACGGCCGCCGGTCCGGCCGGCCCCGCTGGCCGCCGCGCGCTAGCCAGGGCGCCGCGTGACGCCACCGCCTTCAGCGCTCGCCGACCCGGCTGGGGTCATTTGTACACTTGAAATGATAGCCATCTTGCGGGCAACGTGCTATGTTAACACGGCCATGCCGAAACTGATCACACCTCTGGGACACGACCGCGGAGCCAGCAGGGCCTGTTACCGTCAGACTGAAGCCAGTCACAAGCGGGCAGCACCTACGAACACGAGAACCTGAGCGCAGGACTCCAGCGACTCGAGCGCATCAGCCGACGTTTGAGCGCGATGATTTGAGAGCGCTAGTGATCAGGTTGGTGACGGCCTAGTTCCGCCGCTGACCACCGAGCCAGCGGCCGACGGTGACCCCTGACCTGGCGCCGCTGCTGCCGGTGGCGCCTCTGGTGGACGATGTCGGCGGCCACGGCGTCGAGCAGCGCCCGGTAGCCGTCGTCGCGGTGCACCACGCCCGCGCGCTCCAGCAGCCGCAGCCGCTCCAGCAGCGCGTCCTTGGCCTCCTCCAGCGTGGCGCTGCGGCGGGACGGCACGGCATCACGCGGGGCCCGCCGCCGGCCGACGCCCGGACCGCCCGGGGCGGGGCGCGCCGGGCACCGGTACACGGCCGGGGCAGGACCGCAGGAGACGGCAGAGCGCTAGGCCCGTTGCGGACAGGATGGAAAACGATGACGTCATCCCAGCAACGTATACAGCTGATGATGGTACCCCCTCCCCTCCCCCACATCCCAGCACAAAAAAGTATCAGACAGAAGTGCAATCTTGAAGCATGGATCATCACGCACCACAAATCGACAAGAAACAAGCGTCCTCGCTGACACCCAGAAGGGCCGCACTCCGACTCGCCCCGCCGGCGCGGCGCGGCGCTCACCAGGGCTGCGCCAGGAACGAGTTGTTCCTGTGGAGTCGCTGGTCGCCGTGGCGGCGTTTCTCGGCCTGTCCGCGCGCCTGCAGCAGCTCGCGGTAGTGGCGCTCCTGGAGCGCGGTCGGCTCGACGCGCGCGCAGGCGCTCACGTCCGGGTCCTCCGTGCAGCGCATCACGTCCACCAGCAGCTGCTTACACCTGCCGCCACCAGCAGCCGCTGAGGCGGCACCACCACTGCCGGCCGACCAGTGCACAGCGCGGCGACGCCGAACAGCGGCAGTGGCGTCACAGCGCTGTGTCACGCAGCCGATGTGACACGCAACGGTGTCAGTGTGCCGCAGGCCACAGCAGTGCGCCACGCAGCCAGTGTAAGATATCTTCGCAGTACAAGCCGAGTCTCATTTCAGCGCGCTCCTGCGGTTCAGCCGAGGCCACAGAGTTTACACGTGGCTACACTCCGGAACTCCTGTCCTATATTTATACACATGCACACGTCGCACACCACACCGGCCGACATCCCGACCCAAGTGGCCAGCTCGGCAGCCGCCGCGGGTAGCCGTTACGCGCGCAATATGACCTTGATGCCGACGCGCCCTAAAATCCCAAATCATCATCATCAGCATCAGCGCCGCCGGGCGACGCGCTGGCCGTGCCCGCCGGCGCCACTCACTGCAGGAAGAGCTTGCCGGCGGTGAGCTGGGCCGCCTCGTCCGCTGGATCAACGCGCGCCTGCAGCGTCAGGCACACCTCGGCCCGCTCCGGGCTCGGGTGGTCCGGCTCCTCCCCTGCCGGACGCGGCGGCGGTCAGCTGGTGCGCCGAACACACCCCGTGCAGGGGCTCGGGTGGGAGATGGCCGACGGGACGGGACGAGGCACGTGTCATACGGCGACATTATCGTACTGCAGCTTGTTGTATAGGTCAAGGCGTCCAAGTCTTGGACAGAAGATTAGACCCGGTGGATTACTGAACAAATCTCTACAACACAGATGCTTTAAAATAGAGTGGTTTCTCCTGTTTACCATAAGCTCAGCTCCGCCGGAACAAAAAGTAAATATGTTATTTTGCCATCGGAAGAGGCAAAACAAAACAACGGGAGGCATTCTCGCTTTTCAACGGCATTATAATCGCGTGGGCTGTTGAAAAGCCAGGAGCCCTGAGCGACGAGAACCTTTACACGAGGCAGCCCATAGCTCGAACATTCCGTGCTTGGTCATCAGAATGACCCCGGCGCAGACCAACCTGGCCGTTGCGACCTTGACTGACCTAGCACGCCGTCCAGCGACGGCTGGTCCCCGAGCTCCTCCAGGATCTCGTGCAGCGGGTCACTCTTCGATGGCGCAACCACCGACTCGTACTCCATCAGCAGCCGGTGGGTCTCGCACAGCTCCTGCGCGGCCGCACTCGCACGTTACGTCTCACAGTGCCGATACACGGACCACGGAACAAGGGCCCGCGGCCCGAGGCCCGGCGTTGGCGCTACCGCCTCCCCTGCGGCAATCTCGGATCGGTCTACACGGTCAGGCGCTGGCAGCGAGCTCGCAGGGCTTCACCCAATATGATCCCACTTTGCCCGTCCGAGCTGATGGGTCACGACACGCTCGAGGCGTCGACATCCTTTGTTTCACTCCCAAAGCTACAGGAGAGGTTGCGCAGGTTTTCAAACCTATTTCCAGGTTCCGTAACGCGCACGCGGCTCAGCCAACTGGCGAAGCTCTCCGCTGCCTTTCGCAGTTTTTGCGGCCGACTGACCCAGGCCAATTCACATTAATGGTGGTCAATCAGTGTCACACAGCTCATACACCGTGATCCAAACCTCGTCGTCGCCCCAGACACGGAGGCGCCTCCCCCGCCCCACCGACGGGGAGGCGCAGCACCGCCGTGGGCCTCTCCCTCCCCCCGAGCGCGCCCAGCCGTCTCCCGCCCGAGAGACGGTGAAGATCGCCGTCGCCAGAGGCCGCTGACCGCGCTTTCCTCTTTCACCTGGGCGGTGATGTAGATGATTGGCTTGGCGATGAGCGTGGCTTCGGTGAACTCGTTGCGGCCGTAGTGCTGCTCCGGCTCGGCGATGGCGCAGCAGGCTTGCAGGAATAGCTTGAAGCGCTCGTGGGCGGCGATGATGAACGGGTTCAGCGCTTGCAAATGGCCGGCCTCCTCGCCGAACTGCCGGATGCCGCGAGGGCCGTAAGCGGGGGGGGGGGGGGGGGGGGGGGGAGGGCACCCACAGCGATACGGCCGCTCCTGGATCACAACGCTCAACACTACCTTGCGAATGGTAGCTGAGGTACATATTCCTTGATATCCTTCTTCAATATTATTTTCTCCGCAGTAACATGTTCCGAAAAAACTCAGAGGGCCTGTGAGTCTCGCACGTCCAGTCCCCCTCTAACGCCGTTCCGCCTTTCAGCAGACCGCACCGCCACCTACCCCCTTCTTGCTGGCGGCGAACTGCAGGATCTTGGCGATGCTGCCCAGGTTGCGGCGCTGGTCGGGCGTCATCGCCTGGTCCGCCGGCAGCGAGACGATGTCGAACGCGTCCGGCGCCACGATAGCCGAGTTGATAAAGCGATAGTACACCAGGTTGCCGACCACCTGCGAGGCGGCGGAGCGGGGCGTGGCAGGCGGGACACGTGCAGCGGATGTGACGCATGGCGGATATGTGCTGGATTTGATGCATAATTGTTGTCACATGTGACGGATGTGACGCATGACGAGTATGATGTGCTGAATTTGACGCATGATTGTTATGACGTGTGAGGGATGTGACGTGTGACTAATATGACGTGTGCCCGATGTGACGTGTGAGATGTGGCGTTTGACTGATGTGATGTATGGCGGATATGACGTGTGCCTGATGTGACGTGTGACGGATATGATGAGCTGAATTTGAAGTGCGATTGTTGTGACGTGTGACGTATGTGAGTGTGACAAATGTGACGTGTGACGGATGTAGCATGTGGGCACATGTGACGAGTGACGGATATGACGATGTGACGGATATGGCGAGTGACGGATGTGACGTTGTCGGATGACGTGTGACTGATGTGACGGCTGTGGCGTGCAGGACGCGTGTGGCGGACGTCGCCGGTGACGGGAGGCAAGAGACCACCTCCAACAGCTGCAGCTCGGCACGAGCCCAGAGCGTGAGCCATATTATGTCGTGCGGGTTCCCATAAGCCTTATATACACCCTGCGTACTGCTATTGCATACCGCGGGTGACGCGAGGACGTCTGGCACGACGCTTCTGCTCACAGCCATCGCGACGGCCAACAACTTCGGCCACGCTCATGTTCCGATCCTGCCTATTTACGCTTCGAGGAGCAGAGGTGGTTCAACCATTCAGCACCTGCAGGGAAACCGGCTGGCCCCCAGAAACGCAGGCAGAGCGCCGACGTGTCTCACCACGGTCGTTCTAGCCGGTGCCGCGTCGTGCTCAGCGCACACAACAGACCCGACACCGGCGACCTTCGCCGCCTTCCGACGCCGGCACCGACCTTGAGGATGTCCTTCTCGGGCGCGTCCGGGAACTTTTCGTGCAGCGCCCGCTTCAGCACCTTGGCCGAGTACAGCAGGCAGTAGGGCAGCTCGTCGACGGCGTTGAAGATCTCGTCCAGGAAGATGTTGCTGGCCTCCTTGAGGCAGTGGATGGCGCGGTTGAGGCGGCGCGCCACCTCGCCATGCTTCAACGCCTCCTCCTGGCTGACCGCGTACGGCAGGCCGCTGCCGGACAGCCGGGAGGGGTCAGCGATCGCCTCCACTGGGCTGGACCGATCGGCACCCAGCGCAGGACCCACGAGTGTGACAGAACTTTGGTTCTAGGAATCCCTACTCTATATAGCGCCTGTAATACGAGGCAATGTCCACACGAAAAGGTAGCATGCAAACCGAGATGGCTTGTTTTTCTCCGACGAAAAACAGTATTAAGTACCTAAAACTAAAAGAAGAAAAACACCAAAAGATACTGAAAAAGTAACTAAAACAACTAACACAGGCAGCTCAAACAGGAGGGGCACAGCCCACACCACCCGCAAATCCAAAGCGCCAAACGGCACCCCCTGCCAGTTAACACCAAGCACGAGCACAGGAACCGCTCGCTGCGGAGCACAGCTCTCGTGACAGAGCGGTGAGCAGCTCTCCTGGGCCGGACGGTGCCACCGCCGGCACCTGGCCGCGCCGCTGGGCGCGGGACTCACCAGGGCTGTCCGCTCTGCGCCTCCTGCTGGTTGACCCAGTGCCGGTAGATCTCGACCGGGTTGGTGTTGATGAGGAGCGTGCGGTCGCTGAGCACGCGCTCCACCAGCGGGCCGAGCACGGGCCGCAGCGGGTGGCGTCGGCTGTACTGCACGATCATGCGCACCACCATCGGGTTGCCGCTCACCACGTCCGAGAGCTGGTCCACGCGCGACCTGGCGGCCAGCGGCGCCCGTCGGACCGGCGCACACGCGCCACAGCCGGCGGCCGGCCCGTACTCCTCGGGCAGGGGAGGCTCGGCCGCGTGGACCCTCTCGCCAAACGATCGTGTGTCATTAGAACGGACGACGTAAGGAGCCGGGGCTTCCCAGAAAATAAAGCCGCGGGACGCGGAGAGTTCGCGATCATCCTTGCAGCACCAGCGCTCACGGATAGGCACGAGGAGGAGAGAATCGCATTCACGCTGTCTGATCCACGTGTCGCCAACCAAGAGCGACCAGGAGCGACGCCGGCAGGGCGATCTTAAGAGGAATATCGCCCAGCCACACACCACATGTCATGCAAACCTTAGAATTTCAAAACTGGCAATCGGCTTGGGCATCCATAGCGACCAAACATCTAGACAGCCCAGGGTAACATGAACACATCTCCCATATCTGCAGGTCTAGGTAACAGCCCCACCTTACCGGGCTGACCTGACAGCTCCAGCTTACCCGGCTGACCTGACAACACCAGCTCCCAGGCTACCTCCCAGGCTGCCCTGTCCATTGGACGCGACCTGGACAGACCAAACCTCAGCGGCTTCCGGTGCTAACATGACCCGCCTACCTCCCGTGACTGACCTGACCCTCCCAGCCTCCCCGGAATATTGTGACCTCGAGAGCTCCTGCGAGCTAGCCCGGTGCTAACCTGACCTACTCACCCCGTGACTGACGTGGTCCATCTACCTCCTGGTACCGACCAAACACTGCTAAACCCCCGTGGACTACCGTGACCTCCCGGTTCTGACCCGGCCTTGCTCCCGTCACTGACCTGACCTCCTCCTGGAGCGCGATGCGGAACAGGCTGACCAACAGGTACTCCTCGCGGTCGTTGGTGCCGTAGTTGAAGACGCTGGGCACCACGGACTCGAGGAAGCGGCCCGACTGGCCGGGCGGCAGCGCGAACACCAGCCGCGCCAGGTACGCCGGCCGCGTCTGCAGCTGGTAGAACAGCTGCTGGTACAGCGCCAGCCGGTCCCGGCTCTCGCGTGTCAGCGCCTGCCCGGGTCAGAGGCGCCGTCAGGGAACAGAACAGCGGTGTTTTGACGCGCTCATCAATGCGGTGAAATGCAGTTCGTCCAACAGTTTAGCGCTCACTAATACGGTCAGATGCGGCTCGTCTCACAGTCCAGCACTCACTCAAACGGTGAGATGCAGCTCGTCCCACAGTCTGGCCTAGGGTGATGCCATTCGCGCAACCAGAGAATGGGTGTTTACTACAACAGCCGTGTAAAAACCCTTGCGGATCGAGTGCAACTGCCATTAGCGAGCAGGAGTCCAGTTTACTGCTTGGAGATGACAAATACGAGAGCTCGACATTCCAGGACGAAAGACACGCCGTGATTGAAATAGACATCTAACCTTTTGAACACTGCATGCACATGAGCATTACAAACAGCTGGCGACAAAACCCGCGTGAAGCAATCTGCAGACACGACTCAACCGGCACGGGCTCAACGGCTGTGGCGTGCCACAGCGGACAGCTCAGATCGTCAGGAGACTGACGGCAGAGACGGGAGACCATGTCCTGTCCCCACTGAACGCATCATGAGCCTGGCCACGACGCCGCCACGAGAGGCGGCGCTGAGGCTGTCCGCCGCCAGCCTCCGGACTCGGTGACCGTTCGGCACCAATGACCCCGAGTGTCGGCTCACCTTGAGCCCCTGGCCGCGGGAGAGCGTCCCCAGCTTGTCGCCGCTCTTGTTCACGGCGTCCATCGTCTTGCTGTGCATCAGCACCTCCTAAAAAGCGTCGGGAGTGACGTGAGACCGGCGAAACACACCACAACATCCTGCACAGACACATCCAATATCCCGACCCAAGCCGGCTCTGGCCCAGCAGCCCGAGCCCAGCCGGCTCTGGCTTCAGTAGTCAAAACCCAGCCGGCTCTACCTTCGATAGCCCGAACCCAGCCGGCTCTGCCTTCAGTAGCCCGAACCCAGCCGGCTCTGGCCCAGCGGCCGAGCCCAGCCGGATCTGGCCGAGCAGCCTGAACCCCGTCGGCTCCGGCTTCAGCAGAGTCTCACCTGCAGTGTGATCCGATTTTTCACTAGCAGGCCGATCTTGACGTCGAGCGAGTCCAGGTCTCTCTCCAGCATCTGGTTCTTGCGAATCATTTGGGCCACGTCACCCTTCAATTTCTGCTCACGCATAAAAACGGGCGCCGTATTAGAACCAGCGCCACATGCATACCCCCTATAATAACGGTTAATTGTTTGTCATGGCATGCAAGGTTGGTCTCTTGCGGGTCGTCGATCGATCAGCTTGGTCCCAAGATCCCAAAGCTGGAGGTCCCAAGTGTCCGAGCAGCCCTGCTGGTGGTGTTCCGTGACAGGTGTCACTCACCGGACAACGCTGGCTTTACAAAGACGTGCGTGCGGCTGCAAGCACGGCCGCTACACCCGTGTGCGGCTTCGAGGGTCCCACGAACCGAGGGATTCCCCTCACCAGCGCCTCCACGCGGACGCGACAGTGGCGCCCCTCGGGTCCTTCGCACGCCTTGTGTGCCTCTCCTTCCCCCAACCCAGCAGAAGCCCGGCTGAGCTGGCGCCGCCACCTGACACGGGCCGCCTGTGGACCTCCGCCGTCCTGCGCCCCTTTCCTTGGGTCCAAGCCTCCCGCGCCGCCGGTGCGCTCGGCGGACGGCCTTACGCGACGGGGGAGGACGACGGGCAGCGGCGGCTTAGCGCCTCAATGGCTCTGGCTAGTCAAAAGCCGGTCTTAAGGTGATAGCCCAGGTGTCGAGGCAGGTGTGGGCCGTTTCGGAGCGCCGTCAAGGAGCATGACAAGGCCGGGAGGGCGCCGGCGGTCGGCCGCGCCTGCCCGCCGCTGTACGGTCTGTGCGCCAGGCGCCCGTCCCTGTGCTCCGGCCGTGGCGCAGCCGCCGACCGCCGCCAAACCACCGCCTTTGATCAGCGCTCAGATGCTCCCAAGTCCTTCAAGAGAGGTCGTGCACAAACAGAGCCCAAGTTTACGTTACGACAGTGTGCCCTGTCATCAGCTGGCTAAACGACCGCATTAGATCGCATGCCGCTTTCAGCCCACGGCCCACACCGTCCGCCGTGTCCCAAGCGCACTGTGGCGCCACCTCTGCGCAGCTGGTGGCTCCACCAGCACCGTGCGTACCCAATTCACGCTGCGCCGTCCGTCGTGGCAGCCCACCAGAGCATACGAAATGTTTTTTCTTCTTCTTTGGTTATACACCATATATATATATATATATATATATATATATATATATATATATATATATATATATATATGGTGCGTATTTACTTAACGTTCTTGCCCAATGTGTCACGTGATTTGTACGAGCTTTGTGCAGCGCGTGTTTATTGTAAATGACTTCCCACGTGGGACAGGCATATGTTTTTTTTCTGTTCCCAAGACTTATCAAAAATGTGCTTTTAAATACAAAATCTGCTCTTATCAGCTTGAAATACGACACGTCTCTGCACGGTGACCAGTATATCAAAATTATTTTTGAGCACTGGTGAGGTTTTTGAAGTTTGCTCCCGCCCTGCCGCGGGGCTGCCTGGCATTGCACTACAGCCGGGATCGACCCACTCAAAACCCATTTGGAAAGGAAGTTAGAAGATTGAAGGCTTTGTTGTTAAGTCAAAAGCTGCAGCACTGATATAAAAGAGGCCGCGTTTTCAATCGATAAATTCATATCACATTGTGGAGGGCCCCAAGCACTAGACCGTTAGCTGCCGTCAACACCAGTGTTTATTAAATGTGGTGTGTCAACAGTCCAGTTGTTGCTGCCGGCCTGTATGAATGACTGAATGAAACGAGAATCTCGCAACATCTAAGACGCTCTAACCCAGCATTTTTTAGGCAACAAGTGTATTGGACGAAAGTTTATCTAAATAAATTTCGTCGAAACCCAAACAGCACGGTTGTCATCCGGGCTATTAATATATTTTCTACCCACGATGGTTATCATCGGAGTAACATAAGCAGGGGTGTAGTTTTCTGTTCAGTTGCAAGGGACGCCAGACCGGAACTTTGAGCAAGTTGGCCAAAGCCGGCAGAACCCCGTTTGTTGACGTGTTTTGCGGTAAGTTATGTCACTTCTCACTGTTCAGCCCACCCCTCCCACTCAACTCCTTTTGTCCGCGGCCCTCCACCCCTAGACGTGCGGCCGGTCGCCGGGCGGTGGCCGGAGCCGTCCCGCCGCTCCCCGACGCCGGCCGGCATACTCGCCTGCAGCTGCACCTCCTCCTTGAAGTCGGAGCCCTGCACGTCCAGCAGGTGAACGAACTTCCTCAGCAGCGACACGTCCGGTCGGGAGGCGGCAGCCAGCTGACGGAACTCGTGCCGCAGGCGGAGGCGGCGCCACCAGCGCTGCAGGCGCACCACGCTCGCCTCCTGGCGGCGGCCGCGCGCAGACGCAGTCGCGTCAAGGCACCGCCGCGGGGCGGGGGAGGGGGGGGGGGGCAGGGCAAGGTACGGTAGGAGGCCGCTCTGACGGCTGCTGCCGTGCAGCGGGTTACACGGTCGCCGGGTGGGAATTAGAGGTCCATGCATCTAGATCGTCCGCGACGCTTTGCGGCAACTAAGGCACGCTCTTATGCATCAGTTCTGTCCGTTTTAGCAAACGAGATTATGTAACGGCTACTTTGATTATTCACGCCAACGGGAAAGACAAGAAACGTCGCCACGGGTCTGGAAACACAACAGAGTAGTGCAATGAGGCGGCATTCCTCAACACTGCTTTACATCGCGCGAAGCAATTACCGAGGCGACAACACTTCGCGCCTCTGAACTCGGCACCCACCACCCTCACCCCTCCCACCACTCACGTGCGGTCTGAAGCGCTGCAGCAGCTGCTCCTCCTGCAGCTGGCGGCTGCGCAGCTCGTCGACCTCGCGGCGCAGCTGCTCGACGCGGGCCGCCATGCGCTGCGTGCGCTGCAGCAGGTAGGCCCGCCGCTGGCGCGCGCCCCGCCACCACGCCTGCCGCGACCGTCACCGGCCTGCCTCAGTCGGCTGGCCGCCAGCACGCCGCCACATGTGCGGTGGGCAGACTTGCCACGCGGTATGCATGACTATACATGTAGGCACAAGATTCATCCTAGCCTATTCATAATTTCATCAGATTGTACATTTAACTTTTCAGTCAAGCACAAGCAGAACCAGTTCAGCAAGAGCGTCTTGACGTCATCAGGACAGGTACACAGCCGCCAGCCCTTCGTTCCCCTGTCTCAACGAGGCCCCGCTCCCACCAGGTCGGCCAGCCTCCGCCGTCACCCCCCGCCGCCCACCTGAATGCGGACGACCTCTGGCTCGTGCCGGCTGTAGAGGAGACGGCGCTGGCGGAGGCGGCGGCGGGCCAGCAGGCCGCGCGCCGCCGCCTGCAGCGGCACCAGCCAGCGCTCGGGCCGCTCCCGGCCGCCGTTCGTCTCGGTCACCAGCCGCTGTCGGCGAGGGCCGAGTCAGGCAGGCCCGCCAGCGGGCGCACGTCAGCCGGACGAGGCACGGAGGTGGCGAGATCCGGCTGAGATCAACAATAGCTGGGTCAGGCTGGTGTTCGGGGCAGCCAACAGCGGCCGGCAGGTTTCTTCACCAAAAGCGACTTGGACTCCACTTACTTTACATTTGTTTACGACTTACCTACCTTGCTACGTAACGCTGCTGGTGAAAAAAAAAATACAACAGAACAAAACCTTCCCTCGGGATCGAACAGCGGCAAACGGGATGAAACTAAAGCCACGTATCAACGTGACAATTTAGCGCCCGGGCGCCCAGGCACGAGCGAGCCCCACTCCCCTGGAGGGAGCGCTGGTCCAGCGCGGCGTCGGCCAGCTGCCCGGCCCAGGCACGAGCGAGCCCCACTCCCCTGGAGGGAGCGCTGGTCCAGCGCAGCGTCGGCGAGCTATCCGCGGAGCCCAGGCACGAGCGCGCCCCACCCACCTGGAGGGAGCGCTGGTCCAGCGCGGCGTCGGCCAGCTGCCCGGCCCAGGCACGAGCGCGCCGCACCCACCTGGAGGGAGCGCTGGTCCAGCGCGGCGTCGGCCAGCTGCCCGGCCCAGGCACGAGCGCGCCCCACCCACCTGGAGGGAGCGCTGGTCCAGCGCGGCGTCGGCCAGCTGCCCGGCCCAGGCACGAGCGCGCCTCACCCACCTGGAGGGAGCGCTGGTCCAGCGCGGCGTCGGCCAGCTGCCCGGCCCAGGCACGAGCGCGCCCCACCCACCTGGAGGGAGCGCTGGTCCAGCGCGGCGTCGGCCAGCTGCCCGCGGTTCGGCTGGTGCCAGGTGACCAGACCCGTCGCCAGGTGCAGGAAGGCCTCGTTCGCGCCTCCGACCGAGTGCGGGATCCAGCCCTCGTCGGAGCCCTGCCAGCGCCGAGACGGACGTCATCCCCGTGGGAACCGGCCTGACCTCTAGGGTAACCTGGACCTCTAGTGCCACACTCCCGACACAGCGTGCCGCACGGCTGGACGCTGGCATGCCGTCCGCTCAAGCCAGAATGCCGCGATTGCAGGTGCAACTTATCGCGGTTACCAATGCCAGACACGGCCCGTAGCCAGCGCTTGTTCGATGAGATAGCCCCACCTCGTAACGGTATAGCCCATCCATCCACCTACCCACCCAACCACCGCGGCACAGACATTCCCCGCACCGCCGTCCCTGGCGGAGCCCCAAGACGCTCGGCTGCCAGCCCAGCTGCTGCGTCAGGGGGCTCGCCGAGTCCTCCAGCCGGACCGTACCGGGCCGGACGGGCGGCGGCCGGCGCTGAGGCGGCGCAGGGCGCGCAGGTAGTGCTCGGCCAGGCTGGGCGAGACGTCCCGCAGGCCGAGGCAGGGCAGCTGCAGCAGCGCCACCAGCTGGCCGGCCGGCAGCGCACTCAGGTCGGCGGCGCGCAGGTCCGACAGCGCCGCACACGCTGGGGATGAGGCGGAGGGGCTGGTCAGGTCGGCGGCGCGCAGGTCCGACAGCGCCACACACGCTGCGGACGCGGCGGAGGGGCTGGTCAGGTCGGCGGCGCGCAGGTCGGACAGCGCCACACACGCTGAGGGCGAGGCGGAGGGGCCTGGTCACGGACAGCGCCACACACGCTGGGGACGCGGCGGAGAGGGTCTGGTCAGCGACGGCGGGTCCGGTCTCAACAGAAACCACAGCAGGCCCAGAAACTAAGGCAGGAAGCCTTATCCGATTCAGACACGGGGGTGATACTCAACTCCACTGACAGGGTGCGCAACCTGCATAGAAGTTAACTTGGGCTAAGTGAACATTTCGTACATCAGCTCACCCCACCTGACATTGACATGCACCGTTACGAACTTGCACCTTCGGGCTCCTCGTCGGCCGATGTATTAGCGCCGGCCCTAATCTGACGGTGGCCCTGATGTGCTCGACCGGCGGCCTTCCCGCCAAAGCGTGCGATCTTCAGGCCGGGGTCCGGGAGGGCCAGCCAGGCGTTGGTACGAGCCTTGCCCAGCCTGTACAGACGGGTCAGACTACTGACGACGCTGCTGCATCTCGACGGTTCTCTTCAGCTCTTCGGTTTCGTATGGCGCTCCCCTCCGCGGCCCGTCTTCTCTTCCCAGTTACTGACGCCGTCTTCATCTTAGCCGTGACTGCATCAGGCGTCAGTGGTGCACCACTGCTGGCCCAGTCGCTGCCCGACATCCTGGGAGTGCCGGCCCAGCTTCTTATCCACCCTTTTCTCTGACGAGATGCCGGTCAGCTGGTCCAGCTTCTCTGCTATCTCTGCTATCTTCTGGGCCTACCCGGCACGGATGCACGGTGCGCGACGTCAAATCAGCCACGCATCGGTCCGGGCGACACTTCGCCGCTGCACCGCCAGCTCCTGGGGCCGACCTCGAGCTCTGTGGTGATCGTCGGCGCCGGTGCCGTCCACCAGACGCGGCGATGACGTGAGCGCTGGACGCCGAACCCCGCCCCACCGCGATCCGACACCTCCAGGCTCAGCGCAGATCAGCCCTGCCGACGCCGACACTGCACATCGTCGTCTCCGGGCCCTTGTGACCTTTCCTTTCGTCGAGAACGTCCGCTGAACATAGGCTCCGTAGGTGGGTGCCGCGGCGAAGCTCGGCAAACCAGCCGCGCTCGACGGCCGCGACACAGCCAGCGGGCAGGCGGGGGTCGCGCCAGCAGGCACCCGGCCACTGCCCTTATCTCATCACTGCTTACCGGACGCGCCGTCACCCACACATATGCTGTCAGTCTCCGGGTATGACCGGTTCCAGCGGCCGTCCGCGCCCGCGCACGCCGCACACAACACACTTCTCGAGAGGAGTCCCCTATTCGGGCTATACCCGCGCCGCCATTCCACGGGTACCAGCCGCGACCGACCGACCCGGGTCCCGTGCGCTAGAGACAGGAGCGGTCCGCGGTCCGCGAAATGGGAGCGCCCAGCAGGAGCATCACAAGTATTGGAGCATCTGTCATTTGTATACACTAGACCCAGAGAATACCAGGCCACCGATACACGAGCGGAGCCAACGCCGAGCCGTGGCAGGGCTTCAGGAAACACTGCCGGCACAGAAGCCTAACGGCGATGCTTGCGTGCGTGGACCACAGATATAATATGCCCGCTTGCATTTGTTTTGTTCCTTACCGCGTACCGAGCGGAGCACAGTTCTGTCGGGCACTGACTGACAGCCACTCACCGAAGCCACCCTGGGCCCAGAGCCGCCGGCAACGTGCTGCAGCCACTCACCCGCTCTGCCAGCTGGTGGTCCACCAGCGCGTTCCGCACCGCCTCGTCGACGTCCTCCAGCCACAGCACGCCGTCGCCTTCACGGCGCAGCTTCGCCGTCTGAGCGCTCTGTCGGACAACACAGCGCTGTGATGGTTCTGCGCAGTCACCAGAACACCCTTCAATAGTTCGTCATGTACACGAACTGCTTACAAAGGCTGCTGACATAACCCACCGTGATGAAGGCGAGTGATAAATCCAAAGCCTTTGTGCTATTTGTACCATACAGTGGGGTTCCAAAACCCGGCACCTCACTGCTGCTTATGTCAGTCGGATTCCCAACAGCCCGATCGCGATCCCCTGCTTCCCCGCAGTGCATACGGTCGCCTTGGTCAAAGTAGACGTGATACCCCTACCGTCGAACACGATTAAAGCACCATTACTAAATGACCCCTTGTCCATTTATGCATTGAAATGTATCAGCTTGTGATCTGCCATTACTGATGCTATGTTCTAAGTGGCCTAGGCGAGAACGTCGGACCCGCTATCCAGCGGCTCTGGGTTCGAGTCCCGGAGCGAGCGCATCGCTTGACCCGACTGACATGGAAATGTCAGCTGACACCTGCTAAACGAGGGTCAACCCAGGTCCGAGCCCACCGTGCCTGGTGAGTCAAAATTGCATATGAACTAACTGGCGAGTTCGTCGTTAATTTAGTGCATGTGCTGGCTGGGCAATGGGAAAACCACGTTGTGGATATTTTTATCAGTACATGCTTGCATTCACACATGCATGCATGCATGCATGTGTGTGTACATACATGCATGCATGCATGCATGCATGTGTGTGTACATACATGCATGTATGTATGTATGTATGTATGTATGTATGTATGTATGTATGTATGTATGTATGTATGTATGTATGTATGTATGTGGGTGCGTGCGTGCGTGCGTGCGTGCGTGCGTGCGTGCGTGCGTGCGTGCGTGCGTGCGTGTGTGTGTGTGTGTGTGTGTGTGGTGTGTGTGGTGTGTGTGTGTGTGTGTGTGTGTGTGTGTGTGTATGCATGCACACACACACACACACACACACACACACACACACACACACACACACACACACACACACACACCACACACACACACACACACACACACACACACACACACATATATATATATATATATATATATATATATATATATATATATATATATATATATATATATATGCGCTGTGCTGGGTGGGACAGCACATGGACGGTACCTTGAGCAGCTGTAGGCAGTGTGGGACGCTGTGCTGGGTGACGTCACAGTACCCGAGCGCCGGGTCCGTCAGGGTGTTCAGCAGGGACGCACTGTCGCCCATCTGGACTGCCTGGTTCACGGGCCTCCACCAGCTCCACCTCTGCCAGGCGCCAGACCAATGTCAGCAAGCTCATCACGCACACACGCGCGCCGACACGTCAGGCAATGATAGAGGTAGAACATGGAAGACGAGTTTCCCTCAGGTCACGTTCTGAGTTAGTGCTCAGCTAAGGCCAGGCCGTTCACGCAAACACACTATATTGCTAGCCCCACAGACCGATGCTGTTTGTTCTCCTCTATACCATGACCGTTGTGTGACGCCACCAGCTGAGCTCTACGGCGAATCAGCCCCGTCCCGAGCCCTGCCGCGCTCCACCTAAGCACAGCCGTCGCCGACACCCGGTCGTCCGCAGGGGAGAGGGCAGAGAGAGCAAGGTAAGGAACGCAGGTCCTCACTGGTCTGTTCGGCCTCCACGTCACTGTTGACGTCATCAACGGCTCGCTGGATGTCCTGATGCGTGATAAAGGGACAGTGTGGGTTGTCGGCCGCCGCCCGCCGCCGGGCAGCCTCCAGCAACCGCCAGGTACCGCCGGCAGCAGCTCTCGTCCAGGTCCTGTCGGCACGGCCACAGCCCGTTTCAACCACAGGCACTGCCGGCAGCAGCAGCTCTCTGGTCCACGTCCTGACAGTACAGTACGGGGCGTTACCAACACTGGCACTGCCGTCGGGTATACAGCGGCACCACGGCCTACGAAAATGCAGCGAGCATAAGGCAAGATCAGTTGCATTTAGAAATTCGACCGATTTTCATTCAGGGTGATGACTGTGGCACACAGCAGATACATACCAACGACTTTGTCCGAAGGTGAAGTCATGTGAAGCCCAAACCACGTACCGCGCAATTGAAGCAAAAACAAAAAACACGACAAAACAAGACACGACAGCGACAAGACCCCAAGCAGATGGTGGAACACCCCATCTACGCTAGACACGCAACCTGTGCATCTCGTGCAGACGGCAGAGTTTTAGAGTTCGCCCGATGGCATCCTCCTACCATCGATCTCATGGCAGGATTGGGGACCACAAATGAGCGAACATTCCCGTCCCAGATGACGCGATGTGTACCATGACGCACCGAGCGGCGTCATTACTGAGCGCAGCCCGTGCCCCGCCAACACACGATATACACGGGGCGGAGAGGGGGTCACGACGCGACCTCAGCCCCGTCACATCACGTCAGAGACGGCGGGTCTGTCCAGCGCGTCCCTTCCCTCGACCCACGATAATGCAGCGGACCTGCCCCTCGCGTCCCTCTGCCCCGGCCCACCATGATGTAGCGGGCCCGCCCAGCGCGTCCCTCCTCCGACCCACCATGATATAGACGGCCGGGTTGCTGAGGGCCGCCCAGAGCGCGGCCGGCTCCGCCGCGGCCACGGCCGCGTTGACGGCGGCCACGGCCGGCAGGAGCGCCAGCGCGCCGCGCAGCGCCGGTCCGCTCAGGTCGGCGCCCTGCTCGCGCCGCACGGCCGCCATCTCGCGCAGGAACAGCGGCGCCGCCCAGCCGGGCAGCGGCGCGTCCGGCGCAGCCAGCGGCGCCAGCAGCGCCAGCAGCTGGTCCGGGCGCGGCGCCGGCGAGGCCAGGCACGCGTTCACCGCTGCCACGAGCGCCTCCTCTGCCGGCGGAGAGGTGGAGCGGGTCAGGGACGGCATCAGCGCAGGAGACAGTACCAGGGGTCGGACGGCAGGGAGGCTGCGCCACGCCGAGGGGAAGGGAAGGGGGGGGGACAGGGGAAAAAGCAGAGGCAATGTGGTGGGCCACCAAGATTGTACGTGTAGAGCACGTACGGAGTCCGGGATGAACTCTGAGGAGAGAAGCCGAGGAGTGCAGATCTGATCAGGCAGACAAGTCCGCCGGGTCGGACTGCAGTGAAGCAGAATATTTAGGCTCTGGACGAGTTGGACCAAATATCCACTTTCCAAGTGGCGGAGACCAACCATGTCAAGTTAGCCCTCACCCAACCGAAGTGTCCACACTGACCAGAAAAACGGTAGGGTGCCGCCGCCCAATATGCATGGATCAAATTGTATTCTCCACACTTTGAGGCCAGTTGCAACCTCGTGTCATATCAGAAAACGGACATACAGGAAAAATCTCGAAGGCTTGCATGATGCACCGGCCGCTGTCCTCGCTGCTCCGGGGTGCCATGCAAACTTGTTAGTTCATCATGCATTTGGTCAACAGGACTGCCCATCCCCGATTTGGCAGTCTGATGACCTCTGGACATATCGCGAGTTAATCCACGTGAATGACCAAGCATGACCTCGTCATGCAATCACAGTTTTCATCTGACAAAGCAGATACGCAGACTTATGAACTATATACAGTGACCCTTTTGACATACCCAGGTAGCCTCGGATCATGTCAGGTTATGTGGGTGGAGCAAACGACAGTGATTCAGTCGGAAGAATGCCAGCATGAAAACGGAACATGATGGCCAGCGTGTAGATGGGGTCAAGCGAGGTCCCGGGGTACCCGTCAGTACGTTATATTTCGGGGCCCCGAGGTCATGTCAGGTCAGCAGCCTTGCGTGACCTGTTTGACCGAAAGCCATTCCCGATTATATTCCCCGATCAGCTCTTATGTTATACAAAACATTGTTGTCATTCATTTTTAGAGTAATGTCATAAGTTTTCGCCGAACAGTTCCCTTAAGCAAGTTACGGATATCCGCCGTACGAACACAGCCTATTTTGGCCCGCTCTGGGAGGCTGCCGGTTGGCCTGGCAGGGTCCGCCGGTACGCCACTTGATGCACAAAAAACATGCGATGGCTATGCTGACATTGTCATGGAGCTGCGATGCGTAGTTTGGCACAGTGGTCGGGAAAGTCACGATTTATCATGATCGGCACGCCTCCAGGTTATTTTTGTGACCTAGGAGGCTATTAACTCGGGAACGTCCTTACCACAAAATTGGGCCTTCGCGGTCGGGTGTCAGTGTCGGGCTATGGTAAGGTGAGGGCAGGTCGGGTCCAGGGCAGGTCAGGTCCAGGACAGGTCAGGTCCAGGACGGGCCAGATCCAGGTCAGGTCAGGTCCAGGTCCAGGTCCAGGTCACGTCACGTCACGTCACCGGAGCATGACCGCCGCCAGCCAGGGCCAACTCTCGGGCGGAACACATCACAGCACCCGCTTGTCAACACCGATCAGAGCAATCAGCCGAATACGCTGACGCGAAATCAGGAACAACGAACCCCGGCTCAATTTCCACACATTAGGCACGACAGCATGGAGATGGAAACCCATCGGTGGTCACTAACCGACAGCTCGACACACCTTGCACTGCACCAAACAGTGAATGCTAAACTGAAGACAGCACGAAGAAGAAAGACGAGACGCGTGTCCCCATCGCCGGTGATTGTGAGAGGGTGACCGTGCCCCCATCCTCGGTGGTAGGGAGAGTGTGCCCCTGTCCCCACCCCCGGCGGTAACGTGACCGTGCCACGTGTCTCGTGGTACTGAAGATGACCGTGTCCGGTTGCAGTCGCGGGTATAAAGCCGGCACCTTGCGCAGCTGTGGGGGAACCCCAGAACCGGCGGCTGCGGGACCATGGTGGTGCAGGTAAGCCGCGGTCTGACCGATCCAGCCAGTCCCATCCCCCCGCCCAGGTAACCGGCCCACTCGGGGGGGAGGACACGGCATGGATAGCTGGCTCGGGCATACAGCCTCAAAGGCAGCTTGTCCGCTGCGTGAATCGTGATGTGATATCAGATTTTGAATAGCCTTCCCACATGGAGATTTTGGATTTTTTCTTGCTGATCAAGATTGCGGTTATTTTTACATCTTACAGCGATAAAACGACATCAGTTCTACGCACAAGTTGATAGATGTCATCTGCTCACAAAAAAACGCGAGAATGTACTACCACATTGACGTGTGCCTTCAACCATTGAAATATCTTCACATTTAATTTGGTTAATAAACATCGCATAAACTTACACTACTTTCCATGTACTAACCAGGCATGTGCTGAGGCGGGGTATTTGAAACCAATCGCGTTTTTAATTTAACTCCGTACCATACAGAGGTTGTTAGTGTGGAATTGACAATACCCCCAACAAGTATTTAACACTAAATTTGCAAATCCGTCGAAGTACGACTCATTCTGGATCAAGCTGCTCACTGAAACGGCCAATGAAGCACGTGTTCTCTTTGATACAGAGCTCTACTTGGGAGTATTGATAAAACATCACCTTGATAAGCACGCATCACGAACAACAATGGTTTTCAAATAGTCGATTGATCTTAATTTAAGCGTGCGAACCAAAATACAATTATCATTTAATAATAATCCAAAAATTATGCAGGGTGGCAACAACCTTCTGAAAAATGTGTCAATGTTGAATGAAAACTGACGTGAGACGGTTCAGGTTATCATCTAACAAATGACAGCACACAATTGGCCATTCCGAATTCCCTGTTTCGTTTCCACATCGACCTCCCCTAGCTCACCAATTGCCTGTTTTGTCGTCCTTTCTACGCGTCACCACGTCGAGCGTGAACGCATGTGCAGTTGGTAACATTGTTTCACCCAGTTTCCCTCTACCTGATTAGTGGTGTCACCGATGGCGTTCTTGTCAGAAGATCTACATGCACCGGGGGTGTACGATCCAGCAGCATCGCTTGCCGCTCCAACCAACATGATTTCTTTATTTGAGACATGTTTGACAATGATGACATTGGCACAAACATGTTTAACCCTGCATACACATTTAATGGTGATGAACAAATGGAGCAATTTGTGAATCAATTGGGACTCGTAGGTGATACGAATGTGACCATTGTGCACGGCTTTGGTATATTTGGGGCGGCTTTATGCGAGAAAATATGCAGCTCCACTGTATAGCTGTAACAAGACAACATTAGCGCAGTTGACAATGAAGCAATCGAAATTGGAAAATATGTCAAACGAAAGAGTTATTCAAAACCTTACTTCGTTTTCGGCGTAATAGCTTATTGACTAACGGATACGCACAAAGTACAAGTTTCGTAGTGTCTGGTGGTGAAAATGGTGAAAACAGTTGACACCAGGTGCATCAGCACTTTGCACCAGTCTGGACACGGTGCGGACGTATGGCTTTAAAGAACTAGGAAAAAACATGATAGCGATGGTCAGACACCGAATAGGATTCAAATAAAATGCTTTGCGCAATACACCCAATGCAGCACAGGCGCACATATCCGAACGCACCTGCATCGTGCACGGGCGGTGGACAGTTGATGTCGTCTCTACCTGTGTGCTCTCGTCGCAGCTGACATCCGTGGCTTGGTGGGTCCGCTTTACGGCAACACTCGATTAATTTAATATCACACTCATGCGGCACTCATATTGTGTAACGATGACGGAATTAGGTGAACCTGCGATCTACTTTGCGCTAAGGTCACCGTGCTTCGCTATACGGGCATGCTCAATCACACTACATAACAGCGAAAATATCAACATCCTGACCACGTCATAGACCACCAAAATACGCATTTGATGTCAAAATGTGGCGAGAGCTGTTTTGTTTCGTGCTATTTAGTCCTTGTAGCGATTTCACGTGCTATATTTGCATGGCTCCACTGCCATGCCGTTGCCCATGTTACCTTAATTTTCGATATTTCAGTGACTGTAATCCTAGACAGGACCATCATGCATTTCAAAACGGCACGTCCCCACTGCAGACCACACCTGAGCTTGAATCACCTGACTCACTGATCTCTCTCCGTCATGCTGCATATGAACAGCAACCACTCATGTACCGTTTATCGGTCTCCAACGCTGTCTCCTCTGCTGGGCCCTCTGATGGGCCCAAAACTACGCCCGTTTTGGATCTGACAGTGTGGGGAGGGGGGGGGGGGGGTATTTAGGCCAACAGCCTATTGCATCGGAATGGCTGCCGCGGAATGGCCCGCGTCGGAGTGGCTGACGCGGCCGCGCCTTCGAGGCGGCGTCGGCCGCGTCGACGGAGACGGCCGGGCCCAAACCATGAGGCGGCCGGCGACCGGGCGGAGCATCGGTCGCCGGGTCACTGCCCAGGGCAGCGGCAGCGGGACACACTAAGCCAGGCACGAACCGGCGGCGGAGGGCAGCACCACTGGGATAGGGCGGCAGGGGCGGGGGCAGTAGGGCTCGGTGTTATCCAGCAACGGGAGAGATTGGTGGTGGTACGTCCACGTATCCACAGCAACGTTGGTGCCATCCCCTCTTCTGAATGCCGTCGGAGTTATTTTACCTGAGCCTTTGCAAATGTCGCACGCAGGTGGGTGATATTCACGCATCAGTGCCCCAGGAATAGTGCCTGCGGCGGCTCCACTTTGATCCGCTAAGGCTCATATTATCAGGCAACGACAGGCACTGATCCTTTCACCAGAGCTGTTTGCGACACTGGCCACGTAGGACTATCTCCGGTAGGCTTCCGCGATTAGTGCACTAGCATAGCAAAAGCTTGATGCTCCCACAGACCTGGGTGATGAAGGACATAGCTTTGCAAGGCTGGAAGAACGCGTAACACAGCTAATGAGTTGACCGTCAGCAAATAACGCAGTGGAATGAACGAGATTCGAATTCTACAAAAGTCCAGTCAACTCAAAGTTGTCAAAGTAAAAAAAAGTAAAAAAGTCAAAGCTGATTGTTTTGATTCATGCATGCTTACGGCATGTTAGCACGGCGGTGGAACACCCGGCAGCGGCACTATGTGACTGAAGATGGCACCCCATGATCACAACGCGAACCTGTCAACCACACACATCAAGTCTGTGTCGGTTCACTACACTGGATACAAACGGAAACAATACCTGACCACCTGAATCAAATCCACCAGAATCAGAACCAGTAACTCCATGGATCCAACGTGTGCCACCCACGTACGATTCAGGTGCGACTCACGCACTCACTTTGTGTGATTCCCGGGGGCCCTAATAGCCGGTTGTACGTATATCAACTCCCCGCAAAACTATTACCGTGTTTGTTCGATGTTGTTGGGTCACGTTAACATCGTCACACCGACTTACACACAATTTCCAAATATATTTCTCTCAACTACTACGCCGCGCGAAATCCGTATCTTATCCCAGTTTGTTTGACTCGGATGCTCTTGGCACGTCGCTGGCCTTGAGTGGTGCTCAGCACAGCACTTGTCTATCTCCGCAGATAGCCCCACGAACGAACTATAACCGGCAAGTTTTCTTTTACCGACGACTGAACCGCCAATACCATACGCCACGCTGTACGGTCAGCTGTTTGATACTAGCTCGTTCCGAATGCAGCGATAATACGGAGAGCTGATATGAGCAGTAGGCTAATTAGCTAGTTTACGTGGGCCCGAAACTTAAAATGCCCAGTCGATTCGAAGCATTGGCAACATGACCCATGCTTCGAAGGCAGCCTCAGCCATCATTTGAATCGTCAACTGCTGCCAGCCCGCCCTCCAATAGCCGTGGGCCCCGGGACACACTGACGTCCCTCATTGGCTGCGACTTCACGCTGGGCAGGGCCAACGAGTCTGGTGACGACAATTCTACGCTTGATCACGTGATCCTTCTTGGAAGCAGCGTCATGCGATTCTGTTGTATTCGAAAAAAAGCCGAGGGAACGCGGGTGATCACATGGTGCCGTCAGCGCCACTACGCTTCAATCGGTGGTTCATTCGAAGTTACTGGGCCCATCCAAACTACGCAGTTGGAAGTACACACCTCAATAGCACCATGCTCAACCACCAGCTGAATGTATGTTGATCCTATTGAGATGTCTGGCTCGTTGGATGACTTTAGTTACTGAGCATGAATCTGCTGAGGCGGGTGACTTCCATTTCGAACCGTATACACACACACACATCAATGACTCTTACAATCACACATCATCACATGACTTCACACCACACCACACACCACGCCACGCCACGCCACGCCACGCCACGCCACGCCACGCCACGCCACGCCACGCCACGCCACGCCACGCCCACGCCACGCCACGCCACGCCACGCCACGCCACGCCACGCCACGCCACGCCACGCCACGCCACTCCACGCCACGCCACGCCACGCCACGCCACGCCACCCGCGCGCGCACGCACGCACGCACGCACGCACGCACGCACGCACGCACAGCACGCACGCACACACACACACACACACACACACACACACACCACACACACACCACACACAACACATTAAACTACTTCTATTTCGAACCGCACATATACACATCAGGCCTAGAACACATGACAAACACCGCTTGGTATGCGTACCCTTAGCTCGCCAGTACTACCCACCCATTGAAAATTGAATTCTGGAGAAGTTACATCACACACCCCCTACCATCATGGAGAAAAAGGTACCTGAGATCTGCGGTGTTACACTATGACGTGCTAATACTATATGTTACGCCGTGAATAGAGCCCAGCGGACCATCCCACGGCTCCAGTCTGAGCCGTCCGCAATGACGATAAATCTGTTCCGAACCCACAGGCACTCGTTTCGGGAGTCAATCCCTCCCCAACACCCAATGGTTTCAAAGGTGACCCCACTTGACAGTCTTCGAAAAAATCCGCTCCCCTGTAACATTGCAACAGAGGAAAACTGGTCGACAGCACGAGCCAACCGTAGTCAATTGGGAAGCAGGCGTGGCAGCATGACCCGAACATTTCAATGAGGTCAATGAGTGAATAAAACTCAGCCCGAACATTACGGTGAAAGATGCTAGACTTCGTCCCCATCTCACGAGCCACACTTCAGTCGCTACGACGGCCACCTTGCTTCCGCGTGACGCTGTCATGGGACTGACCTTGATGTCGCTGGCTGAACACCTGGTTGACCTGGTCGATCACCCGCTGCACGTCCTCCGTGGACGGGGGGTGGCCGTTGGTGACGCGCCTCAGCCCCTCCATGTAGTCCGACATGCAGTCCGAAGCAACACGCTGCAAACATAACCCGTGCCTGGGGTGGTCAGACCGCTCGGGCATACGGAGGACCGCGTTCTCCTAGGGGCCATCCTTCTAAAGTTTCCGGTCTAGTATAAAAACATCCGCGCTAGACCCTGTCAACACAACACACTTCAAAGGCACGGTGAGAAAACACATGAATGCGGTCACAGTCGATGGCACCGCACGATAGCACGGGACTGACAGCCGATAAAGGATACCACTGACCCGCAGTCGGAGGCGGGGTACACCACTGACCTGCAGTCGCAGGCGGGGACACCACTGACGTGTACTCGGAGGCAAGGGACACCACTGATCTGCAGTCGGAGGCGGGGGACACGCCACTGACCTGCAGTCGGAGGCAGGGGACACCACTGACCTGCAGTCGGAGGCGGGGGACACGCCACTGACCTGCAGTCGGAGGCAGGGGACACCACTGATCCGCAGTCGGAGGCAGGGGACACGCCACTGACCTGCAGTCGGAGGCGGGGGACACGCCACTGACCTGCAGTCGGAGGCAGGGGACACGCCACTGACCTGCAGTCGGAGGCGGGGGACACCACTGATCTGCAGTCGGAGGCAGGGGACACGCCACTGACCTGCAGTCGGAGGCAGGGGACACGCCACTGACCTGCAGTCGGAGGCGGGGGACACGCCACTGACCTGCAGTCGGAGGCAGGGGACACCACTGACCTGCAGTGGGAGGCGGGGGACGACTCTGACCTGCAGTCGGAGGCAGGGGACGCCACTGACCTACAGTCGGAGGCGGGGGACACGCCACTGACCTGCAGTCGGAGGCGGGGACGCCACTGACCTACAGTCGGAGGCGGGGGACACGCCACTGACCTGCAGTCGGAGGCGGGGACGCCACTGACCTACAGTCGGAGGCGGAGGACGCCACTGACCTGCAGTCGGAGGCGAGGACGCCACTGACCTACAGTCGGAGGCGGAGGACGCCACTGACCTACAGTTGGAGGCGGGGACGCCACTGACCTGCAGTCGGAGGCGGGGCACACGCCACTGACCTGCAGTCGGAGGCAAGGAGCGGCCAGGGCGGCCCACAGGCCGGCCGGGTCGCCGCCAGCCAGCGCCTCGTGCAGACGGGTCAGCGCGGCCGCCCGGTTGGCGGCGCCAATGTGGCCCTGGATCTCGGCCTGGGTCAGCAGCTCGTCGTACACGTCTGCCTCGAACGTCTCCGACAGCGACTGCAGAGAGCGACAGCCTCAGTGTCACGCACCGTGTCGGGCACAACGATCGGAACTGAGACACTCAAAGAAACGTTATAGTCTGAAGCTCCCGGACAGTCAGGCACCTGAACACAGCGGAACAAGTGCTGTGTTTGATGTCACAAAAGAGCTGACAATGACCACGTGTCTTTTCAACCTGCAACCAGAGCAAGACAATGACCGTAGGTCTATATGCCCAGCATCAGCGTTGTAGGACTTTAACTTCATGTCCACATCGCGACCGCAATCGTCCGCTCCTGACCCAGAGCGCCGGCGGCCGAGACGTACCCGGTTCTGGGCAGCCTCCACCTTGCTGTGTTTGGCCGCCGCCAGCCGGCTCTGGTAGAGGTCAGCATTTCTCGGCCGCCACCTCCCGCAGGTGAGCGTTCGGGTTTTGCAGGCCGGCCAGCGTCTCGGCGGGTACCTGCCGCCAAGGCAGAGGTCAGGGCACCGGAGGGCAGGGCAGGGCAGGGCTGGACGGGGTTTGGTGGGGCGGGACACGGCAGGGCAAAGCGGGGTAGCACGGGGCAGCTCCAGGCAGGGTAGGGGAGCGGTAAGAGGAATTTCGAATTTCGAATATCATCGAACACAGTGGAGTGGGTCATCTGGTCTCCACCTTAGTTCAAATTATGCACCTTACGCGCGAATGTCGTCGAGACGGCGTGCAACGCGTGGCTCGAACACACACCTTCCTCATGCATCATTGACAGCCAGGTGCGAGAACTCAGCGCACATTCAGAGGACAGTTGATCCGCACATGAAAAACTCGTGCGGGCCCTGGGCATGCATCCTCCTCGGCCGGACAGTTGCCCCACGACCACTCCTCGGCGCACTTAATCTCGCCCTCTAGTCCCAAACATCACAAATCGAGCCAAGCATGTCGGCGACATTCAGTGTTTCGCTGATAATCGCACACAATTCCCTAGTCCGAGGAGCGCGCGAGGCGAGCCGCGGTCTGACTACGCGCCGCCGGCGCCCCGCCCCCTCCCTCCCTCTGCGCACCTGTCGGTCGATGGCCTCGTTAATGACGATGACGGCCGCGTGAAGGGCCGCCTTGTCGACGGGCATCTCGCGCGCCAGGATGCCGCCGATCTTGCTGAACGTCGGCAGGCTGAGGCCGTACTTGCGCAGCTCGGCCGACACGGCGTCAATCTCGGCATCTGCCAGCGGCGCCGGACGTCAGGGCGCTCCGGCCGGCGGCCAGCGTGCCGCACGCGCGGAGGGAGACGGCGATCACGGATTCATTACACTGCGAGGGCGGGGGACGGAGCAAGCGCCTGCGGCGTGGGTCAAACACGGCCTGGTCACTGACGCGCCGGCTACCCGCTGGTGTGGCCGCAGTGACGCGCCACGGCACTGGGAGCGGTGGAAGAGGCGCCGGACGGCGGCGGACAGCAGCGCCCGGCGCCGCCCGGCACGGTCGGGTTGTTGTGCGGCGCGGCCGCGTCGCACCCCGCTCCAGTCTCACCCGTGAAGACGGCTTTGCCCAGCAGGTCGGGCATCTGTGGGCCCCGGCCCAGCTTGAAGGCGAACAGGCTGAGCGCGTGGATGCAGTACACCGTCTTCGGCATGTTCTTCTTCTCGTACACATCCGTGGTCGTCGGGATGAAGATCTGACGGAGCAGATGAGTTAAGCTGGCGCCGATGTGGAAGGTCTCATGAAATTAGTGATTTCTTATGCTCCTGGTGAGCTTTATGAAACGCCTAAATAGAGTTTACAAAGATTGTGACCCTCGCTGCAGCAGCCAGAGGGCACGCACAAGCAATATGTAAAAAGTGCTTCATGCGACGGCAACTCGCTCGTCCAAGACACTGCAACTGAAACAAAAACGGCGACTAGCCAACTGAACACGATGATCAATACACATACTAGCGTACAAATGACAAATCAAAATCACACCAACACAAAAGGATGCAAGGCGGTTGCTCACCTGTGGTAGCCCCATCTCCCGCATGGTTTGTGTCCAGATGTTGATGTTATCCGTGTGCCGGAACTGCAGGCCCCTGGCGGCGTAGCGCGTAAGCTGCAGGTCGTAGACGCGCCGCGAGGTGTCGGGGCGCAGCAGCAGCGCCAGGCGCGCCAGGTGCACGCCGTGCCGCAGCGACTCCTCCAGCTCAGTGGTCGGCGGCAGGACGTCGTCCAGCATGGCCTCGACCCAGCTGCGGCGCGGCGGCGGCGGGCGGGGTTAGCGCGCGGGCCGTACACTGGTGGAGACTGACAGGGCACCGCGGTCGGGCGGGGTCAGAGTCACGGGCGACGTTGCACCGGCCGCAGAGATAGAACAGCACCGGAGTGACACACGGAGTTCAACTGGCACTTCATTACAATGCTGGTCGCGCACAACGATCAGGTACATGCGGATGAGCCGGATAAGAGCGTACAAGGAATACCGCGCGTCGGAGTGCTCTCTTGTCCACCGTACCGTTTGGCCTCCTCCAGCGGCAGAGATACTCGTAAGCCACGCTCTGCTGCCGCTGGCTGTCCATTTCGTCCGCCGTCAGACGGTGGTCTCCTGCAGCACAAGACACGCATGCTAGAAAGGCCGGGCGCGTGGGGCTGCAGCAGGGCGTGAGGAGGAGCAGTGGGGCGACGGTTCCCTGACATCGGGTGTTACGACACGGACACGATGCTACATTCGCCTAAAACACGTTGACATGACGGGCCATAAGGTACCTTTTCCTTCAGGATGCGTCACCTGGACGATAACGGCGTGTTATTGCACAGGATACACAGGATATACACGGGATACGTCACCTGGCGTGTTATTCGCTCAGGACAAGAAAATGAGGCGGGAGGGCGGCGATTAAAAATTTGGCCCCCTTTAACGCTAGATGAGCGTTCTACACCATCGAATAACAGGCCACGTTGTGGCATGTTTAAATGCTTATTCGAGAAAACATCTACCGAACGCAAACAAAATTATCCTTAGTATATAGACCTGTTCCAAACAACGAACGCCACTCAATCCCCGCCATTGCTGTCGGGACATAGCCGCAGCAACTCGCAACAGCCGCATACAGCAATCAAGGCCGTCATGCTGTATATGACGATTGGTTACGGCTCTTGCCAATATTTCGTACTGGAATGTTTGATGTCCAACGACATATTGCTTTGTGTTTAACACAGCAGCTTTGAACTTCCACGAAGGGGAAGTGGATCTGGGGCACTGGGGGGACAGCTGTCTCCTCTCCCCAACTTCGTAAATGTAATGACAACCCCCCTGGTGATGCATGGAAAGAGGGGAGCTCAAAATCAAGTTTTCCTCCACGTCTTCATCTTCGCTGAGGTCCTGCTACTAATACTTTGTCACACACCAGTTCCCCCAGCGTAAAATTACCATTGATTGTATGTTTCTTTGGATGTGCAGTGTATACAGTGTATGTTTGATTCCCGTCTTGATTTTCAACAATATTTGCTAAACAATTCGATGCATGATTACACTCCTCTACATTTCGCCTTCTCTTTTTCATCATTTGGCATACTTAATCCTTCATTCATTCGCCATACATAAGTCATTTATGTAAATCGGTCCCGTTCGTGCAAAAAGTGCATTTCTTTTTACCTTGGATTCCGTGGAATCAGAAAAGAATATAGACTGCGCGCTCATGCTGGCTACCTCGGCACTTAAGACTTCCCTCACGTTGCATTATCGTCACCATGGCTTCGGCCCCAGACCGAATGACCGTGGATGCCTTCCCCAACAGTACGCTTGTCGGCCGACGGCATCCACTTTATCTGGCTGGCCCCCTGGCGGCGCGTCGCTCAATGCTGCCGGGTCGACCGCAGCAGTTACAGGCGGTCGAACGAAAGTACCTGATGATGATGATGATGATTTGGGCTTTGGGGCGCACTGACTACGTTGGTCATATGGCGCCCATAACCTACTTTTTATCTAACAGTTGCCTGAAAAAGCGGGGAGATAAAGTTTCGTTCGATATATGACATGAAATTGTACGTCTTCAAGATAACTAAAAATGTGGCCGTCATGTACTGAGCTGGAATCGTCTCCCAACATACCACAGAGCGTTGGACGCAAGGACCCAGATCCAAAATGGGGCATACGTTCCAAGGCGAGGTGGGCACAATCTATCAAGACATGTCGTACGGTGTAACGATCCCCGCAGCGAGGACACTGCGGTTGGTCTTCCCCGCATAACAGGTATCGGTGAGTTGCGTATGTGTGGCCTATTCTCAGGAGGCATAGCGTCACTTCCTCCCGCCTCACCCTACGACAGCTGGACGCCCATGGTCCCAACCGGGGCTTATCTCTCAGTTTATTGGCAGCATGCACGTCCCAATTCGCTTGCAAAACGGAAGTACCTATTGCAGTGCGCTGCGGGTTCGACCGCGTGCATATGACAGCACTGTGGATGCACTATCGGACGGCTACATCAGTAACTGTCTACCGACAATACCTATTTTGTTCATATGAGCCCCTGGCTGTCCGTTAACGCGGTGGCTAACATACGGCAGCCCGCAAATATTTATAATCGTACACGGACGTGTTACCGTGTCGATTTGGTAGCGCTGCCAGCTTGCACTGGAAAGCGTTTGTCGGCCAAGGGCACCCATTGCATTCGGTTGAGCATCTGGCAGCACATCACTCAATGCTGCTAGGCCAGCCACAGTGGCAATTTGCAAGGTTACGGGGGTCAATCAAAAAGCCTTATCGTCGCGCGCGGCGGCTGCGACCGTAGCGACAAAATAACACTATGGGATCACCGGCGAGCGGCACCGTAAACCATTCGTAAGCCAAACACCACCTAGCATGCTCATTTGATCCCCTGACAGCGCATTGTTGAATGCGGCCGGCCGGCTGGGAGCGCGATGGTCAAGATACAGCAGTCCGGGAAACATACTCATAACCGCGCGTGGAGAGTGCGACCGTATGCACTTGGTGGCGGTCCTGTCAGACTGTCAGCTGACTGGAACATGCTTGTTAGCAGATGGCATTCATTTTCTTGCAACAGTCCAGTGAAACGGTTGAGCGGGGAAGTAACAACACAGAATATGGAAGGATTTACGGAGCCTAGCTTCCTTACATGTAGCGGCCGTTGAGACGCAAAGCAGAACAACTTCTTCGCAACCTCAACGCAACGCATTCCACTTCTCAGTTTAAAGTCGTCTAACTACATCACCTGCATACTGCGACGCTGACGCTTATTCTATTACGGGCGGCAGCAGAACAACGTCAGATAAACGCCATGCAATATTTAAATAAAAATATGCGCGATTTAGCAATGAGTTTTCACCATCGCTGCAGCTACCGACCAACACCCACAAACGGCCAAACAGCCCCCGTGCTTGGCATATGGCTCAGCAAGAACAGAATGAACCCTCGCGCAGAGTTTGCGTGAGCTGCCTACAAACACTCACCACTCCCCTAATAATGCTCAGTACGTTAGTCGGTTTAAACTTCCACTGATCCGTTTCACCCATGCAAAATTCTTCGTTGGCTCGTTTCATGGAGGGATAAAGCTCTCTGGAATGTCTGAGTTCGTTTTCCGGGGGGGGGGGGGGGGGGGGGGATAAACGCTGGTGTTCACACGTCCTATGTGCAGCATGCACCAAAGCGGCTGATAGCGACAGCCGCTTCACATCACGCTCCGTATCCATGCTTGGCCATGACATTCTGCATACACGCAAAACCGCGATGCCTCGGATGGACGGGCCCGCTCTAAGATCAGAGTCCGGTACCAGCACCCAGAAAGCTCGCGCGCGCGTGGCACAAACGCACACTTGTAACGGTCAAAGAAGTGGTGGTGGATAGCTCCGCTGTGTCCTGGTGGCGCTAACCCGTTTTTCAGCCTTGGACAGATTGTGGTTCTCGGTTTCCTTCGTCCTTAGTGTCCGTGCAACTTAAACGTCCGAACATCAACTAACGCCAAGCACGGTAATCTATCAATAACTTTGTCTCAGTCAACAAAATGTCCGTTTAATTTGAGTCAGACCTAATTGGACGAATATATCGAATCGAATGGGTGGCTTTTTATCTAATTTTGTTTGCATGTTTTAACCTGAGACGTTTATATGCTTGGAGGTACTCCTGAGCCAAACCATGTACACCCATTCAGATTGTTGGTATATCTTAACTTCTGCCTACCTTCCCAGGTCATAGTTTTACCGCCGACATACTCCCTCCAGGATCGCGACTTTATTTCATACTGTCTTTGTTCGCGGTTTCCGCCAGCAATCAGATGCAACAAAATGTTCAACGCCACTTTCGTCACCGCAGCATAACAGCGAGCGTTCTGCGAAAAAGGCCTGACAGTAAACACTTCTTACACATTTCCAGCTGTCCTGACTGTCCAGTAATGCGGCGACACAACCCTGGGAAGCCACAGCCAGGGGATATTTTTTGTTTATAGACTGGATTTTTCGTCTCGTTCAGCCTGCGCCGTCGCAGTGCCAAACACGGTGGCGGCTGGCCTGTTTGGTACGGACCGCACCGGAGAGCACGGTGCGGCAGTTTGTTTATGGCGGCGTCTGGCGCGTGTCAGCGTTTCAGGACGCCGGCGGTGACACGGCCAGGCACGGCGCGAAGATGTCAGCTGACACCGGGGGACGGGCCAGCCCGGACCCCGGCCGGCCGGGCCCACGGCAGGGCTGTGACGAGTCGCTGAGACAGCACGGTGCCGGGCCACTGACGAATCAATGAGACGGTGCGGTGCCGATGCACAGCCGCACCTCATCGGGATGAGACTGCTCAGAGCAGCGAAGTTGAAATCAGTGAACAGTCGAAGCGGTGTTGGGATCATGCGGAACACACCGAGGGTTTGTCGGCACTGTGGGGTTGACCCACATGAACGCCCGCTTCCTGAGGCGGGTGGCGGTCAACTGGTGCCGCGCGCCGAAGGCGGGATCACTGGGTCTGCTGGCACTCCCGGCAAACATGCCAAGCCTGGCTCGTCTTGTCACCCGGAGATCCCGTCCAAATTTGTCAATTCATGTCGTCCGCTGTCAAACGGACAAACACGGCCAGACATCAACACAAACATGCCTCTATGTCTGGGAACTACTCGCATAGGAGAGATGCTGCAGTTTGCTCCAAGCGGCTACACGCACTGCTTTGGTGTGACGTCCGATGTCTGCCGCGTCCATCACAGACTGATCAATGCCCATTCCTAGCCAACACGGTAAGCCTTGTTACAACGTGTCAGCCATGCCATGTGTGAGGAGTCAATACCAGGTGGCCCCACGGGGCCATTTGGCTGTTGTCATAGCATTGCAAACATGTCAGTCATGCACTGGAAACTGTCCGAGCCACACTGATAAGTACTGCTCACACTGAAATCACCATCGATGAAAATTTACAATATCAATTAAAATCTATTGTGATGATTTAATTCACCTCCATAAGTGGCTTCAACTCCACAGATTTCGTCACGTTGAATCATCGCGCACCACCGTAGACCCAGACCCAGATTACTCCCGTTGCATCATCTGTACATGGGTCGTGGGCGACACCGATAGGCCGCTTGGGCGT